AGGGCGTACTTACCTACCCAGCCCATACATGTATATGGGATTATCCCTCCTCCACCCCCGAAGACTTCAAGTGTCACGTGGCAAGCAAACATGGATTAGGACGACGAATGCCAGGTTATTCATGAATTTTCTGTAGTTAAATGTTGCTTTTGTCATTTAAATATTTTTTAATTCAATTATATCAAATGACTCATATCTTTTTTTTGATAACATGTCACAGGAAGTTTCATGTCTTTCATAAAAGCAAGGGCCATGATGGCTTCTCGTTGGTCACGTGATTAAGTTCGAAGATGATTTGCGCAATGTTGCCACCTGGTGTTGAATAAATGATTTGTTAATAAATCCTGAGAAAACGAAGTTCATGTTGATCGGCACCGAGCAAATGATAAGTAAACATTCAGTTAATTTTACTGTTTCGTTTATTGGAAAGACTCTTATGGCTGTCGAATCAGCAAGAGATCTAGGAGTATACATAGATTTACACCTGACCTATGACACTCATATCTCCCACTTAGTCTCTTCTTGCTTGACTAAACTGGTTCAGATCAACTGCGTGAAATATTGTTTTGATAGAAAGACTTTGGTTTTAATTATTACATCTCTTGTCTTTAGCAAAATACTCTACTGTTCGACCGTGTGGTCTAATACCTCATCTAAGAACATCCAAAAGCTGCAACTTATTCAGAATTTCGCCTGCAAAATTATCTGCGGCGCTCGGAAATATGACCACGTGACGACATTGCTTGACGAACTCAACTGGCTTCCAGTTAGCAAGATGCTCAAATTCAGAGACGCTGTTATGGCTTATAAGTGTGCCAGCAATTTAGCTCCTGAATACCTATGTGCTAAGTTTAAAAAACGATCTTCTGTACATAATCGCACAACCCGTAATAATGAGAAGCTCGAAATCCCATTATTCAGGTCAGCCACTGGCCAACGTACCTTTGCCTATAGAGCAGTATCCCTGTGCAACACGTTAGACGAAGACCTTAGAAACGCTACAACTGTCAAGGCCTTTAAGAAAGCCCTGAAACTTGTAATGAATGAATGATCGAATGACAGTTAGCATTTAACAATTATTAGCTTGTTAGATATAGCTTGCATTTATATTTGTAAATAGGTACTGAAAAACCTTTTTTGGGGAGTATTTATTAAAGTTTTAATTTAATTTAATGATTAATTAAGGCAGAAAAATTATGTCGGAAGACATGCATGTTTGACCAAAGAAAACAATTTAAGTTCATTACAAAGTGCGATGGAATTATTACAGATTGCGACAGCTTAGTTTATTACAGAGTGCAATGGACAGTTATTACAAATTGCGACAGCCTTTTTATTACAAAGTGCGACACGGTTCATTACAAGTTGCGACACTAAGGTTTTACTAGCCTGTGAACAGCAGGCGCATTTCCGGTCGTCGCTTCTCTCCCTCCGAAAAATAGCGTCTGCGAACCCGAGCGGCACAACGATTTCCGTGACGTGAACCTTTTGTTTTGATGTTGGCCAATCAGATCAAAGGATAGAATAAGACTCGAGTGACTCCTCGCGACCTCGCGCGCTGAAGCGTCTAGGATTTCGGCGAGAGTTACCAACAACGCTTTGGAACGTGAATTTCGCGATCATAACAAGGTTTCCTGCGGCGTTGAATGCTGACGTCTTTATGAAGCAACTGCTTCTTAAGCTATGTATGTAATGTGGGCTTTTGGTTTCGCTTTATAAAATACAGTAGTACGTGACATAAAAAAAAACCTGGACAAAATAATCGCTATAACGAAAGGAAAGTAACATAGCTTAATTAATGACATTGCGCTCAGACTTATTTATTTCAATTTCATGACCAGCGCTGACAAAAGGTGGTGAATCAATAATTATACAGACACATCCTTGACTGATTCAGAAATCTCTGACAATCGCTCGTTAATAATTCTAGGATCGCCACAACACAATGATCTGAAATATTATAAACTAAACCTGGGCTAGACCCAGCATGAAATAAATAGTTACAGCAGTAAATAGATTATAGTCAAGATGCAATTTCAGCTACAACGCGTCGACTCACCTCGCAAAAAACTATGGAAGTTAAAACCTTGAAAAGAACATGATTTCAAAGAAATATAAGAACAAATATAAAACGCTTTCGATATGATCAAAGTTCTGTCTGAACCAAGAAGCAACCACGCATGGGAAATCAATTATCACACGTCCTAGCTTTCAAAGATAAAGAATATCTACTCAAAAAATACAATGTCTAAAGCGGCACACGACAAACTATCGAAGAGTTCTCCGAAGCATACTTTCCTGCCAGGAACCAGAAAGGAACAGAAGCAACAAACGGCATGATGCGTCTACTCTCATTAGAACATTTATCGTTTCGAATATGATCAAAACAACTAGGTGTGATATCATTGACTCCGTAGGCAAATAGATAAAAAATGTCCTCAAATTTTTTCTTCGATGTGAATCCTCTTGATGCTTATTTCATCAATCAGTCCCACGATCCTGGCAAATGAACTTTCGTTAACGCGTCGATCTGAGAAAAAAGGGCGGCTATACACAAGCTACGTAAGCACATCCACCGCGCACGATCTTGCGAGAAGTCTCGCGAGGTAGTTCCTTGATTTTAGGAGCTAAATCGTTAATGGCTAAAAAGGTTTTACGTCACGGAAATCGTTTTGCCGCTCGGGTTCGCAGACGCTATTTTTCGGAGGGAGAGAAGCGACGATCGGAAATGCGTCTGCTGTTCGCAGGCTAAGGTTTTACAAAGTGCCATAGATTTATTACAAATTGCGACAGTATAGTATTAGAAGTTGTTACGTCACGTTGCCAAAATTTCTGGATGACAACAAGCCGGGAAACGTCACGTAAAACTGTTTCAGACTTCATCGATCTCGTTCAGTTTGAATTAATTTGTCAAATGTTGGCTAAATTTTCTGGGGTTAAATCCGAAAGGAACGTATTTACGTTAAGAAAAAGAAAAAGAAATTGTGTTGTGTCCACCTAGTTTATAAAGTGTTCTCGTGAAATTAGGAAGTTTCACGTTGTAGTCGTACTACGACGGCTAAGAAATGTACAAAAAGCGTGATACAGGTGCAAAGTTGTTGTTTTGCCAATCTGAACCTATTGCTTTTTTGCCGTTCTCGTTGCCGTCGCCGTCACTTCTCCCCTCTACTTGTTTGATGTCTTCATAACCAGTACATAGGAGTATTTTGTACTTAAACAAATTTAAAAAAGCACTAAGTAATGACTACAGCATCACAGAAGTGATTATGACCTGAAACAGCAATATCCTTGGGACGTACGTATTACCCCTCTGGGTAATAAATATATATTTTTTTTATTTTAGAAATTCAAAGAGCATTCATGCAGAAGGTAAGCGTTTCATGTGATAGAAGAGTGTTGAAACCCAATTGTGCAGAAATTGCAACATTTATTGAAGAATAAATTAACAGCTAAGTTAAAGAAGGAATCTGACAGAAAATATTTAAGTTGAAAATAGGTGCATATGAATTTAAAATCTGTTTATATCTATATATTATTTCATAGTTGAGAATGGTTCAAAAAGGGGCAGACTCAAAAGAAATTAGCCAAAGACAGGTGCAGTGGATGAAAATGAAAACCATGCTCGTTCCATACAAAGAAAATTAGAATTTTTTCATATAACCAAGACATGATATAAAGTAATCCAAAGATATTTAAATGGAAGCGTTTAACTTAAAAGAACTAAAATCGCAGCACTAACCTTCCACGTAAGCTAAGTAAAGTTCTAATGACAAGAACAAAATGGTAACGCTTTGACCGCGAAGAAAGGAGTTCATATTTCTTGCATGTCAACTCATCGCCTTCTGAACCGACCAGCGCACATCACCACTTAAGTAGCCAGAACTGGTGAACGGAAGTTAAAACTCTAATATATAATGAAAACGCCTACATAATAATGCTTAATAATGCTTCTAAATCCACCTGCTGTGGACACACTCCAATATATAATGAAAACGCCTACATAATAATGCTTAATAATGCTTCTAAATCCACCTGCTGTGGACACACGTTAAAAATTAAACAGCTGCATGCTATCATCGACATAGTGTTGTACCGAAGTTCGAATTCAGTTTGAAAATTAGATCAAACATGTCGTGTTACAACAGTTAGAGAATTTGTATGCTGAAAAGCCTTTAAACAGTTCTCTACAATCCTCCTATAGTTTCTAGGCGCAATACCGCGGTTTTCTGACGATCTTTTACAGTGTAATTTAAGACTCTATGGGAGGTTGAGGTAATATCACTCCGATAGAAATACAGCATGTTTGTTAAACCAGGCTTTAAAAAATGAAATATCTTAAAATATTATTAATAGACTGATTTTAAAATCAGACATTTGCAAAGAGGCTGAAACGAGGCCTACTATTTTAACATAACAGGTATTCAAGACGAAAAAATGCGTGACCAGGGGCTACGAATCGACCGAAGACGGTCGGCAAGGTTTTAACGCTTAATTGAAGTTCATTAATATTCATTACAGAAAATGCCCCACCTGTATTCTTTGAAAATTACTCAGCAGAAAAGAGGTGGTCTGGCTTTTCTCCATATCTACATGTTCAGCTTATTTTCTCAGTTAATAGGCCGATCCTTTGGCAAATGAACCGGGATTTTGCGGTCATGATTTTCTACGTTGGTTGCAGAGAAAGTTTGTTTGACTACTCAAGAGCTAAATGCTTTTGAAAAGGTAAGAGCGATATTCTTTTTTGATGGTGTTATCTTGGTCGTTGGCAGAGTTTCAAAATATGCATGGGATGCAAATTGATAATGTTTTTTTCAGGAAGTTCGATTCAATAAGGGTCCGCAGGCGGCAGTCTATAAGAGTCTGAAACATTCACTAATTTTTTAATTTATATGCACGGAGAAAATAATTAAGACACCAAATTTGGCATGATAAAGATTTTCATAATAATAAAATACCGTAAAATTCCGAAAATAAAGCCCCTCCATGTATAAGGCCCTCCAAATATAAGCTCCCCCAAATCGTAACGCAAAAAACCCTCCGTTAAATCGCCCCTCCAAATATAAGCCCCCGGGGGCTTGTACTTAGAAAATTGCCCTCAAATACAAAGTAAAACAAAGCAAAAACAGTAAATTTACTTTCAACTAAAAGGCTAGCTCAATCGATTCTGAAACACAAATTTCCCTCCATAGATAATCCTCTCCGAATATAAGCTCCTCCCAAAATAAACCCCTAAAAAAGAGCCTTTGAAAAATATAAGCCTCGGGGCTTATTTTAGGATTTTTACGGTATACCAGACTAACGTAGCGATATAGTTAAAGATGGGAAAAGAAGGGCAACAGTATTATCACTTGTTGCAACTACACAAATAACAGTCTGTGACTTGAGTAACGAAAGTTATTGACCTGTCAACTAATCTGACTAATATTTTTTCTTACGCGGGAGAAAGTTGTTTTTCCAGTTCAGGTTCTAATTTTCAGTTTCACCAAAGAAATTTTCCAAGGTTCTGAAGGCATCAGAGTCGTTTCTGGGTAATATCAATTTAATAAAACTTCTCATAGGAGATTATATTATCATAACTGATTGTCCTATGGCGAGTGGCAAGTTTATGAATTCTGTTAAATAGGGTACTTGATTTTTGCTTAATTCTAAATTTCTACAACTTGTTCATTTTAATCTAGTGAATACATCAGTCAGTCCTTTTGCTCTATTGTAATCTCTTCTCCTTGTAAGCAGAAAAATTTATTCGTTTCCTAGTATTCAGTTTTTTTCTTTAGTATTTACAAAAAAAAAAACACTTATGTACGTTGGTTCTTGACAACACAGTTCATAAAATTTTTGCAATCAAGTTTCAATAGGTCATTTTCACGATGACGATGTTTGACTTAAACTACCAAAATTCATTTCGTCTTTACTTTCTTGTTTAAATTGGTCAATTCCGCTGAAGTTTAAAGAACAAAAGCCTTAATTTGCTCAAGAAAACAGCAAACTGAGGGATTCTGGTAGTTGTAGTAAAATGACGTCATCATGCAATTGGGCTTAGAAACACCTCTAAAAGGCTATTTCAGGATAATCCAGGAGAGTAAGTTGATTTATATTACGGGTGTTAATATAATTAACAGATCATTCTCTACTGATCTTAATCTCTGTCCAGTGGATAACACAATTGGATTTCCCAATACGTATCAACCTGATATAAACTGAATTATCCGGTGGACCGTACGTACTATTAAACTTTTGAACCGACCGGGAGCCGGAAGACATTCCATTGGTTGGAGGACGATCTTAAAGGATAACCCTTTAAGCCCTAAGAGTGATCAGCATGAAATTTTTCCTTGTAAAATAAATTCAATGCTTTGTAAAACAGAGTGGTTATGAGGATTACGGACATGATTACACACTCCAAGATTAATTTATTTGATATTTTATCTACTTCTCGCTACTACTTCTGTAGGAAATGAATAGGGGTAACAAATGAGAATTAAAATTTTGATCTTAGGGTTTCGCGACGAACGCGACGTACACAGGTACCCATAGAGGTGTCCTATATTACAGTATAAACATGATTGGCCCAAGGTCCACCTTCGCCGTCAGCTCCACAGTCGTTAGATTGCCCATATTTGTCAAATGTTTGTGAAGCTGAAGCACTGGATGCACACCATCCGCCATCCTGAACACCAAATATACCGTAACCTGCTCTTATTGCAGCTACTGCACACTTGGCAATAGCATTTTATCGAACTTTGTACTGTCTGTCCAAAATAGGATCCATCAACTCCAGGGGTGGAATTGCTCGATCGCTGGTATCTCTGTAGCATCCAACGCTATCATATCCTCAAAAATGGAATTTGCGTTGGTACTAATTAATAACCAAAAAATACGAAAGGAATGCGCAACCGAATTTATGACGCTGGCTGACTACGTCATCCCGCGTAATTAGTTTACTGTCACTTAAGCAGCCTCGATTTCAGACAAATATAGCATCGAACAACCTAAACATACCGTCGCCTCACTGATACATTACTCGCATCTTCCAAATATGGTAAGCGCCAGTTGCTTATCAAAAATAGCCTGAAGATTGGAGCCAATCAGAGACGGCGAAATATTTTGGATGAACAATAAACCTATATAGCCCATATATGGTAATGCTCCTCCCCTGAGCGGTATTTTTTTCTCAGTTTTTCTATTGTACCTTTGATGTAATAAACGTGATTGGCCATCCCTCCTCCTTCCCCATCAGACTGACAATCATTTGATTCTCCATATTTGTCAAACGTTTGCGGTGCAGTGGCACTAGAGAAACACTGACCACCATCTTGAATTGCAAAAATAATGAAACCCGCTTTGATGGCAACCAACGCGCATTTGGAAATGGCGTTTTTTCGTTCCGTGAATGGTCCATCTAAAATTGGGTCCTGTCCTTCTAGACTTGAGATTGTTCGATTTGCGGTGTCCTTATAACATCCAACGGTTTCGTAAGCTGGGGGAAATGAGCAACAGATTATGTTCATCTTATTGCATTTAAAAAATATGACGAAATGTATGCCTGCTTGTATTCTTTAAATGCAGCAAAATCAAACACACGATTAATAGTAATTTTATAAATTCTAGGTGGCGTCTCTGAAACTCGTTAACAACACATGGAGGAATGGAAGAATGGAATATTGATCGTCATAGCATTTTTCGAATTTCGAAGAATGAATTTCTTTAAAACTTGAATAGAGCTGATTATTTGAGGAACTATATAAAACCGCGCCTGCTAAAATGACCCGTTTCAACCAATATTCAGAAACATCAAAATCGACGGGGAAAATGGGTCGCGACTCTTTTTAAAAACTTCAATTGTGTCTCGATATCAGTTGAAACTCTCCCATCCGTGTTTTGTATATTTCCACTGGTGGCCGGATATTGGATGAAACACTCCCACTGGTGATTCGCGTCTCACTTTTCATGTCCTGATATCAGACGAAACGCTCCTTCATCTGTTTGATATATCACCTCTGAGAGTCTGGATATCACACGAGATTCTGTCATTCGTTTATGAACACACGCAGTCACTGCTGGGATGTCAGATTTAACACTTCCTCTCCTGCGTGTTTTTTAAATTTCGGTGATTGAATATCAGACGAAACACTGCCACTCGTCTTCTATAGAGAATCTGTCAATGAGCGTCTTGATGTCAGACAAAACACTTTCAGACGTGTTTGAAATATTTGCAGGTAGTTAGTTTTGTTTTCTTTTTAAATGTTTTGCAAATCCTTTCAACCCATCTACCATATCCCTACATTGATTTTTCCCTCTCCATATTTGTCCTCTCAATTCTTGGTCTAATATGTATGATTAAATCGGTCTAGTTATTCCTCAATAGACGCACGTATAGTTAAGAATTGTTTATAATACAACTACACTTTTGTTAAATAGGTTATTATACTTTTAGTAGGTTATAGGTTATTCGCTTTACCTTTGCAAAGCTTGCCATTACCAGCAAACCCCTCCTTACATGAACATAGGTAAGATCCTTCACTATTCCGACAGATGGCATTTATATCACAGATGGAAGAAAAGACACTGCATTCGTCAATATCTGGGCAAATTGAAATATTTGAGATAAGGAAAAAACTCTGTATAATAATAAACGACACGGGACTATTAAATTTGAAAGAAGGTGCTCGCTTAAAGCTAGCAAGCAAACAACAGCCCAGCGATCCCACTGAATTGTCTCGAAACAACGCCTAATTCATAGTCATGTCAGTCTGTGAATCAGAATATTTCTGAACCAAGAACAAATAATCATTGTTTCATTTGTTAAGTCATGAAAAAGTACTTTGTCAGTTGTACTCTTGTAACAAAAAATTGCGTGTGTAGCTACAATCTGTGTGTGAGGTGAGGGGAAAAGGTGAGAGAAGATTGGGGGTTAGGTTGAGGCGCGCGTGAGGTCTCATGGGAAGGGACGCTATTTTTCCTTCGCCCCTTCCCATGACACCCCGCACGCGCCTCAACCTGACCCCCAATCTTCTCTCACCCCAAAACACATATATAGCGTCTCGGTACGAGTCTGTTCTGCCCCCTTAATTGTCCCCAGGTACGCTTTCGTTCGTCCTGACGACCTCACAAAGTTGTGAGCAAGGGTTCATACAGAGTACTCCCTAGCGTTATTTTACTTCTTTTGCCCAACAAAAACAAATGAAATCAAAGCTGGCCCTTAAAATAATTCTTAATCCGCGGCATCCTACAGGTAATGGTGTGAGCAGGAATGGTAGAAAAACAAAATCGTTTTCAATTCATTTTTTCTTACCCTGTCCACAATCTTCGCCGGTAAAACCTGGCGCACATACGCAACGATACCGTTGGTCTGTAAATCCCGACTGGCAGGTAGACTCGTTATGGCATGGATTGACGTCACAAGCACTCTTTCAAGAAACAAATGAACGGTGAATGAGATGAAAAGGTATTAAATGATGTAGCAAATCTAAGTAATCAAAGCGAAACTTGTCTGGGTAAGACATGCGAAAATTTCCTCCACAAACAAATGACAGTCGGCAGATATGGCAAATTAGACAATGTGACGACAGCGACATAGGCTCGCGCAGATCTAAAAACCCAAATGACCCATGGCAGAGAGGCTAATTAAAGCTCTGCAATTCGCTTTCAGCTTTCCGGGCTCTATCATGTTCACATTTGCCGTTGTGTTGACTAAATCTGCCGAGTAGACATGCTGTTGTCTATTTCTGCATCCGATCTGAATACAGGAAAGAAAGTGTGGGTATCCGCAGGAACTACCCAAAACGTTTTGTTCCATTTACTTTATCCAACCGGATTTCCTAGAAACTTTTTGTAAATGGTAGACATGCAACCTGTGCGTCCAAGAAATTTGGTTCCGACAAAATCGTCCGTTCGTACTTCCGCTTGTTCATGTTAGCGGATGTGAAATGCTCGCATCCATGTTATGATCTATTGACAGCTGTCACAATAGGGTATCTGTTGACCAGTGTCACATGACTGTATCGCGGGCTCAGGTGAAAAATTCATTGAGGTGACGTGTTTTATTTAATTTTTCCGCTGCCTAGTTACGGTATTCAACTGATCGCAGGCTTAGAAAACTTTACTTCGGAAAGACATTTCTTCAAAGTTTCCAAGAGAGCTTCGCTTTTGGCTTGGCTAAATCTAAATCTAAATGTAAATGTCATGATGTACTCTTACTTCTGCTCCATGGTATACGTAGTCGGCATCGTCTTCCAGGTGATAACCATACCCTCGATGAGTTGCATTGTTCAACTCACAGCTCCTTGTTTTCTTTTTGAAATTAACACTGACGCAGTTAGATTCCAAGAAACAAAGAAGCTCGCAGCTATCTACATCTGGGACCTGCTGAGTTCTTATTGCGTGGTTCTGCAAACGTTTAGCTGTAAAGGAGAAGGAATCTGGAAACGACAGTTCTCGACATTCACCTGAAACAGTCAACATCCGTCCTCTCACATGAACAAAACACTGCACAAAAAAATAGATCAAATTTGCTGTACGTGGACAAATATATGTTGCATTGGTATCCTTATTTTTATAGGGTTGTAAATCGGGGGTAAAAGGGGTAGTTAATCAGGAAACATTTACTGTACGTTTGTGTTGTTGCACACTGACACGAGAGAGTCAGTTTATGTTGAAACTGGTTTACTTTGGCACTAGAAATGACATCAAACAGCGGAGAAATGCATGAAAATACAAGCGCTAGGCCGTGGAGGGAGGAGAGAGTTTAGCTTAAGGCTCATGTTGCTCTGCTGAATAGATGACAACTTTTATGTGACGAGAAATTGATGGGTGGAATTTTTTCAGCAGCGTTGTATCTGATCCAGAGCCGAACAGGTTTTGAAAGGTACTTATTTGGAAGCGCTTGGTTTTTAATTGAAAACTAGCTTACATACTTGTATGTTATTAAATATATGTTTAAAATTTAAGTGATTTTAGGTTCTTAGTCTTTATTGATGTTCATCTCATGTTTTAAACTTTTATCATGTAACTTTTTTTAAAACCTTTCACAATTTTTTAAACTTTCAATATCATGTAAATTGTTTTTTTTCTTTAATTATTTTAGTCTAAGAGGACCCGCTCCTATAAATCACTAGTTAAGTGAAGTTGGCATCCTCAATATAGATTATCAGTCATCATTCATCATTCAATACTAATCAAATACAGGGTTTACTTCACGCTATCTGCTACCCTTTTAAAATCTGCTATGAAACGTGTATTTAGTTTTAGGCAAACTTTTTCTTGTCGTCTCTTGCAACGGATGGCAAGAATGGACATTGAAACTTGAAAGTGATGGGAGTTTTTAAGTTTTAAACCTATGCATGGAAAAATGACTGAGAAAGTTATTAGACAAGTGATCCCTGCTGTAATAGAGAAGAGAAGTCGTTACGTCACGTTGCCATGGTAGCAAAATTTCTGGATGACAATAAACCGGAAAACGTCACATAAAACTGCTTCAGACTTCATCGATCTCGTTCAGTTTCAATTAATTTGTCAAATGTCGGCTAAATTTTCTGGGGTTAAATCCGAAAGGACCGTATTTAAGTTAGAAAACGAAATCGTGTTGTGTTCACCTAGTTTATAAAGCGGACGCGTGAAATTAGGAAGTTTCACGTCGTTTTGTTATAGTCATGCTACGACGGCTAAGAAATTTACAAAAAAGCGTGATGCAGGTGCAAAGTTGTTGTTTTGTTATCTAAACTTATTGCTTTTTTTGCCGTTCTCGTTGCCGTCGGCGTTGTCGTTACTTAAGGTCCCTATTGTTGTGATCCAAATATTTTGCTACCATGGTAACATAACGTCACACTTCTCCTCTCTACTTGTTTGATATCTTCATAACCACTATATATAGGAGTATTTTGTGCATTAAACAAATTTTAAGAAGCACTAAGTAATGACTTCAGCATCACAGAAGCGATCATGACCTGAAATATCAATATGCTTGTGACGTACCTATTACCCCTCTGGGTAATTATTATCATTATTATTTTCATTTTTATTTCAGAAATTCAAAAAGCATTCATGCAGAAGGTAAGCGTTTCATGTGAAAAAAGAGAGTGGAAACCCAATTGTGCAGAAATTGCAACATTTCTTAAAGAATAAATTAACAGCTAAGTTAAAGAAGGAATCTACCAGAAAATATTTAAGCTGAAAATAGGTGCGTATAAATTTAAAATCTATTTATATCTATATATTATTGTGTAGTTGAAAATGGTTCAAAAAGGGGCAGACTCAAAAGAAATTAGCCAAAGACACGAGCAGTGGATGAAAATGAAAACCATGCTCCTTCCCTATTATGAAAACTAGAATTTGTTTATTTAACCAAGACATGATATAAAGTAATCCAAAGATATTTAAATGGAAGCGTTTAACTTAAAAGAACTAAAATCGCAGCACTTACCTTCCACGTAAGCTAAGTAAAGTTTTATTGACAAGAACAAAATGGTAACGTTTTGACCACGAAGAAAGGAGTCCATATTTTTTGTATCTCAACTCATCGCTATCTGAACCCGTCAGCGCACATCAACACTTTAGCAGCCAGAACTGGTGAACGGAAGTTGAAACTCCAATAGATAATAAAAACGCCTACATGGAGGATTCTTAATAATGCTTCTAAATCCACCTGCTGTAGACACAAGTTAAAAATTAAACAGCTGCATACTGTAATCTACATAGTGTTGTCCCGAAGCTCGAATTCAGTTTGAAGATTAAATCAAACATGTCGTGTTGCAACAGTTAGACAATTTGTATACTGAAAAGCCTTTCAACCGTTCTCTGCAATCCTCCTATAGTTTCTAGGCGCGATACCGCGGTTTTCTGACGATCTTTTACGGTGTAATTTAAGACGCTATGGGAGGTCCAGGTAATATCACTCCGCGAGAAATGCAGCATGTTTGTTAAACCAGGGTTTTAAAAAATGAAACATCTTAAAATATTATTAATAGACTGATTTTAAAGAGATTTGCAAAGAGGCTGAAACAAGGCGTACTATTTTAACATAACAGGCATTCAAGACGAAAAAATGCGTGACCAAGAGCTACGAATCGACAGAAGACGGTCGGCAAGGTTTTAACACTTAATTGAAGTTTATTAATATTCGTTAGAGAAAACGCCCCACCTGTATTCTTTGAAAATTACTCAGCAGAAAAGAGATGATCTGGCTTTTCGCCATATCTACATGTTCAGCTTAATTTCTCAGTTAATAGGCCGATCCTTTGAAAAAATGAATCGGGATTTTGCGGTCAGGATTTTCTACTTGCAGAGAAAGGTTGTTTGACTACTCAGGAGCTAAATGCTTTTGAAAAGGTAAGAGCAATATTCTTTTGTGGTGGTGTTATCTTGGCCGTTGGCAGAGTTTCAAAATATTCATGGGGTGCAGATTGATAATGTTCTTTACAGGAAGTTCGAGTCAATAACGGTCCGCAGTTGATAAAAGTCAAACATTGACTCATGTTTTATTCATGCATGGAGAAAAGAATTAAGACAACAAATTTGGCATGATAAAGATTTTCATGATAATAAAATATACCAGACTGACGTAGCGATATAGGTAAAGATGGCGGGGAACAAGGGCCAAAAAATATTATCACTTGTTGCAACTACACAAATAACAGTGAGTGACTTGACTAACGAACGTCAATGATTGACCTGTCAACTGCAATGTGTATAATCTAAACCTGACTTTTTCCTCACGCGCGACATAGGTGTTTTTCCGGTTCAGGTTCTAATTTTCAGCTTGCACCAAAGACATTTTCCAAAGCTGTGAAGGCATCAGAGTCGTTTGTTTTTTATTATTAATTTTTGTCCTCAGTTTTCCTATAAGATGGGTAATAACAATTTAATAAAACTTCTCACAGGAGATTATATTATCATAACCGATTGTTCTATGGCGGGTGGTAAGTTTATGAACTGTTTAATAGGGTACTTGATTTTTGCTTAATTCTAAAATTCTACAACTTTTTCACTTCAATCTAGTGAATACATCAGTGAGTCCTTTAATTTGCTCTATTGTAATCTCTTCTCCTTGTAAGAATAAGAATTTATTCGTTTCCTAGTATTCAGTTTTTTTCGTTAGTATATACTTGAAAAAAACTTGAACACTTAATATGTACGTTGGTTCTTGACAACACACTTCATTTAACTTTTCAGAGCAGTCAAGTTTCAATTAGGGCTTAGAAACACCTCTAAAAGGCTATTTCAGGATAATGAAGGAGAGTAAGTTTATCATTCGAGAACTTATTTCTTTGCTGGAAAGGTGTTTGCATTTGCGATATCAAAACTGATAAATAATTTTGGCAACAAGCTTCGTTTGTTCAAGTGACAAGTCAGTTCACACCAGCCTCTACTCTGAAGGTCACATAATAACCAATTTCGCTGGTCTCATTAAAACCGTCCTAACTTTAATGCCACACGCTCTGATCATGACACCTTTTAAGTGCTTTATTTTTGGGTTGAGCTATTTTCAGCCGAATTTCACTCACTTGGAGTTCTAGCAGGCCCATGGCCACAACTGAACGTTTCTCAAATTTTGTTAGTTTTAAATATTAATCTTGTCAATAAATGTAGCCTATTAGTATATATATCACAGCTTGTAAGGTATCCTACAATTAGGTCTATGTTATTTATTCGGAAAAACTTATAAACAGCCCACAGTAGCTCCACTCAAGTCACTGAAATCAACACATTCGACCAAATTACTGCAATTATTGAGACGGACCATACGATATCACTAGCCTTAAATAAATAGAGGTTTCGCTGTAAGCAATCCTTACGTTTAAAACATGCCATGATCAAATTAAAGCCTGGTTTCCATATGATCGCTACTTACCATCGCTGTGATCGCTGTGATCGCTGAGAAAAGAAAAAAACCTTCAGCGATCGCAGCGATCATAGTGCTCATATGAAACCACTCTCCTGCAGCGATCGCAGCGAAAACAATCGCTGAGATATAAAAAGTTCTATCTCAGCGATCGTTGTCACAGCGATCGATGGAGAGTGGTTTCCATGTGATCGCTGAACTTTTTTTCTCAGTGATCGCAGCAATCACAATGATCGTAGCGATCATATGGAAATCGGGCTTAATCTATCGCAATAACCATCCACCCTTCCTCCTCAACTGCTACCTGTACGCCTTACTAACATATCGAACGCACTCTTCTAAGCTCCGACTACTCCTAGTTTAATATTTTTTCAACTTTTTTCCCTACTTGTTATCATTATCTTATCATTGACATTCTTCGTCTTAATTTCTTATTATTATTATTATTATTATTATCATTATTATCATTATTTCCAAGAGAGGATAAAAGGGACAGAGAAGGCATCCCCCATACACACCCTATTCCATAGGTAATTCGTCTCGAGTTATTTTTAAGACTATAGATCCCAAGGGGGATTAGACAACAGCCAATCACACAACGCGAATGTGTTCCGCGTGGATGACCCACGCTCAGAGCCACGTGTCCTTGAAGAAATGACGCAGAAAAAATGGCGGAAGACGCGGAGAGCGATATTGCTATTTGTTTTGTCGGCGAAAACGACTAAAGAGAGATTTCTGCTAAAGCTGTGTTAGCGAAACGGAAATTAAAAAATAATCGCCCTTCTTCTCTTGTATAGAGCTAACAGTACAGCAGGGAAATCCTTAATTAACAAGTGAATATTTTCTCAGGGTCATTTATAATTTACAGTTTGAAGAGAGCAATTTCTGGTTTGATATTTCTTCTTTTATTAGTCTTTTATTATTCAACCAAAATAACACTTGGCGTCCTACTGGCTTGCGGTTTCAATAGACCGGCGAAATTTCTCATCTTATTAAAGCACTGAGATTACGACAACTTCGAGTTAAACTGATTTCACGGGTTGTCAGAGAGTCCAGAGATTCCCTTATCCCAGGTGAGCGCCGACTCATTTCGCTTCAATATTCAGAAATGCTGTCGATCTCTTTACGCTTTCATTGCCTTTCGCCCGACATGTTTTGCACGGCGTTTAGTCATGCGAAACCTGCACGAAACATCCACGCAGCGCGCGAGGTAACTTTATCCCGATTCTAAAAATAACTCGAGACGAATTACCTGTGGAATAGGGTGTGTATGGGGATGCCTTCTCTGTCCCCTTTATCCTCTCTTGTTATTACTTATTACTTATTATAACAGCAATTGACCGCCCATTCTTGAGTGCCTCATTATATGTTAAGTAATTTTACTTGCTGTTCAAACAAGGAAATGCTAACAGAAACGTTATTTGATGACTTTTACGCATGCTCTTATGATTTATCCCATTATGCGTTAATGAAAATAACAATTAATAATTATCATAGTTATTTATAATTAATACTATTAAATTATTATTATTGTTCGTTTGTTTGTTCCTTGCTCTAAGGTGCATGTGACCCTCACTTTTTTATTTCACTTTTAGCGAACAAAGTTCACTAAGATGAATGTCTGGGTGCATTACATTTACTGGTCAAAGAAATACCCCCAAAATCCAGACGATCCTATATGCAAAGCAGTGGTCGTTGAATAGCATACCGATGATCCTCGATATAAAAGAACATGAATTTTCTCGCTTAACTGTACTCCTTGATTATAAATTTACCGCTGTATCGCAAGTTAACTGAACGAAGCCAGGAAGAGATTTAATTGTAAGTACTAATAAAACCTCTCTGCAAGCTCATACAAAAAATATCCGTTTTTTTTTTCTTGTCTTATGCATATTTGAGTAGCCTGATTTAAAGAGGGTCCAGAGGTCGCTCGCGGTTACACACTCTGTTGTGCCAATAGAAAAAAAGGGGGGGCGGTATTTAAAAAGTACGAATTACAAAGCTCATACAAAAATATCTCTTTTTTTTTCTTGTCTTTTGCATATGTGAGTAGCCTGATTATAAGAGGGTCCAGAGGTCGCTCGCGGTTACACACTCTGTTGTGCCAATAAAAAAGGGGGTATTTCAAAAGCACGAATTACGAAATCACCCCGGTATTGACTAGATCTAAAAAAGCTTATAAAATAAGGGGGGAGAGGGAAAGTGTCAAAATATAATATTCGAATACTCTGAATTTGAAATTCCTTACTCTTTAATCATTCTTTTTTGGGTCGTGTTTGTATCGGTAAAATGGAATTTAATTAAGTATTACAATTTGTACTCAACTTTGTGATGAGCGATAAGTTTTTTTTTTTATTGATCTGGAATCAACTACGTAGTAACTGTTTTATTAACTTGATCATCAAGAGTTTTTACAAGCTTTCTTTATTACGGGTGTTAATTAACAGATCATTCTCTACTGATCTTAACTTCTGTCCAGTGGATAACACAATTGGTTTCCCTAATACGTATCAACCGGATACAAAGTGAATTATCCGGTGGACCGTAAGTACTATTAAACTTTTGAACCGACCGGGAGCCGGAAGACATTCCATTGGTTGGAGGACGATCTTAAAGGATAACTCTTTAAGCCCTAAGAGTGATCAGCATGAAATTTCTCCTTGTAAAATAAATTCAATGCTTTGTAAAACAGAGTGGTTATGAGGATTACGGACATGATTACACACTCCAAGATTAATTTATTTGATATTTTATCTACTTCTCGCTACTACTTCTGTAGGAAATGAATAGGGGTAACAAATGAGAATTAAAATTTTGATCTTAGGGTTTTGCGACAAAAACGACGTACAAACTGGTACCCATAGAGGTTCTCTATATTACAGTATAAACATGATTGGCCCAAGGTCCACCTTCGCCATCAGCTTCACAAGCGTTAGATTCCCCATGTTTGTCAAATGTTTGGGGAGCTGAAGCACTAGATGCACACCATCCGCCATTCTGAACACCAAAAATACTGTAACCTGCTCTTATTGCAGCTACCGCACACTTGGCAATTGCATTTTTTCGAACTCGGTAGTGTCCGTCCAAAATAGGATCCCTCCTCTCCAGGGGTGGAATTGCGCGATCGCCGGTATCTCTGTAGCATCCAACGCTATCATATCCTGAAAAATGGAATTTGCGTTGGTACTAATGAATAACCAAAAAATACGAAAGAAATGCCTAACCGAATTTATGACGTTGGCTGACTACGTCATCCCGCGTAATTAGACCCCGTCCACACGTGTTCAGGTTTTATTTAAAGGGGCTATGTCACACAATACGCATGCGCGAGCCAATGAAAACAAACTTGAAAAAGACGGCCCAACTTTTTCAAGTTGTGTCGGAGATTTTGGAAGGCTGTTTTTATCTGTCTAAATCTCAGCCATCGCTCGATAGTTAGCGAAGTTTTGTATTAAGAATCGTTCTATGGTGATTACAGAACAATTTTTTGGCGTTATTTTAAAATTGTTTGCCTGTGGAATGTTTTTACGTGGATTTACTCTGTCCTCTTATCAGCGGCCGTTGTAATGGCAGAGTTAATGACGGCTACTCCACAATGAGTGATGGAATCTTTGATGGAATCTTCCCTATAGTTCACAGGACCTTTCTATTGAGTTATTTTAGAGGCTGCTGGCTCTTGGATTTTTCTTGTACTCAAAGTATGTGGACATATAATGAAGCGGCTATCGAGTTGGCGGCGGCCGTTTTTTGTAAACGATTACAAGAGCATCAGGCCATGAGTTTCGTGACGAAACTAAACTCCTGGCGAAGGAAACATTCTAAAATTCGGCTAGATTCCTTCTTGTATTTATCTCGATTCACGGCAAAGATAAACACGACCGTTTGCTCGTCCAGATTGTTCTCAACGGACTTAGAGAGGCACCTTAGTACGAGTTAGATCCTGTAAATGCCATGTTTTTGAACTGTTTGTGTTCGACCATAATTTTGGAAAATAGCAGAGTTTACTTTCCCTTTTTATCAACGGACTGCTTATAGTGGAGAAGTATACCAATGATGCTGGGTTCTGTTTTTCTCGACGTCGCAGTGATTCGGCACGATCGAACAATTTTGCGCGATAATGTATGTTTCCCTAAGATCAAAACAAAGACTTGGTCTCTTGTTCTATCAGCATCTAAATTATAAAATCAATAGCGACAGACAAGTCTAATTGTTAATGATTTGAAACAGTCTTGGTCTTTATCTTCGGTCTAGCGTCTTTTGTAGCTCGTTTGTAAAATACAACTTCCATTTATTTTGTTGAATAAGACAATATGTTGTTGTTGAATTTTTGTTTGCGCTCTATTTTATGAATGGCATGCGTTTTTACTTCAAAACTACAAGTAAAATTGTCGTCACAATTTTGTTCTTGATCTAGCATAACCAGAGAAGAAACGTTCCATAAATTCTATCGAAATATCCCTTATCTAAACCCATTTCGCTTGTTAAACCTCTCTAAATTCGGAACCTTGGACGTGACAGAGAACATGAAGAAAGTCACGCGTTAAAAACAATAGAATTTTGACAGTTGAAAGTAATTTGCATAACCTCAGAGCGCACATGGAGAAAGTCACGCGTTAAAAACAATAGAATTTTGACAGTTGAAAGTAATTTGCATAACCCCAGAGCGCATGCTCTCCAGCTGACATAGCCCCTTTAATTCGCCACTTTTCTTTTGACACACCGTATTTATTCGAATAAGCGCCCAACCTCGAATTAGCGCACACCTCAAATAAGCGCCCATCATAAAGGCGGAAAAAGTTAATAAGCGCCCACCCCCACCCCACCCACTAAGGTTACAATGAGATTGAATAAATACTGACATAAACAGACTTCCCCGAAGACGGAGTTTTCTTCAGAGTAGGGGTAGTTTACAGAAACCTTGCTTTGTTACATCTTCGCGTTTCGTTATTACCATTTATTGTTTTGTTGCAAAGAAAACATACTATACTTGTTGAAAATGGTGAAAATTCAATAAGCGCCCAGCCTCGAATAAGCGCCCATTCTCAATGTCCAAAAATTTAATAAGCGCCCAGGGCGGTTAATCGAATGAATACGGTAGGGAAAACTTTTGCCGTTATACAGAAAGAGATCTGGTCCCAGTTGCGGTCAAAAAGGTAGAAAGTGCTATCCAATGGAAAACTTACTATCCGAAGGATAGCGCACAATTGGTTCTCGTAATACTCATCCACCGAATAGCAGTTTTTCAGGTGGAAAGCGCTAACCAACTTTTGACGATCAGGTTCTGCAGTATGTGTGAGATCTTGGAGTTCCAACTATCATCCTGCGTTTTCAATTGTTCAGTGCGACTCTGGTTGTGTCGCGAAATTCTCTCCTACTGCTTAACCCATTCGCCCCTGAACCGCCCGTAACCGCCCCGCGGATCCACGTCCTTTCCACCCCTTGTGACGTCATCAGTTTCAACGATCAAGGACGACTTTGTCCGCTAACTTGTGCAGAGTGAAGAGATCTTTCAAGCCATACCAGAATGAGCACATTTCAGTCAACGACACCGGAGAAACAGGCAAAAAAACCATGTAATATTGACCTGAAAATCTTCATGAAAATCTTGTTCCATTGCTCACCTACCTTTCCTTTCACCTAATCCTAAGATCCTAAAGGCTTTCCTACAAACTCTTTCCACCAAAATAAAACCTGCTAAATGCCGAAAAGCGAAAAAAGAGGGGAAATTTTGCTTTCTGCGCATGCCCGAACTTCGCAAGCTGATATTTTGCATCTGGATCAGAAGGCCGTGAAGGGTACGACCTGTAAACCGGTTTGTGGTAAGTTGTAGCTCTTTATAGCACGACAGTGACCAGAAAAACACTCGACTAGCTTCAAAAGGCGTTTTTCGGCAAAATCTCCAGGAGCAAATGGGTTAATTCCATACGATGATTGTTGCAGTTTGCAAATCTTAAGGTGCTACTTTCGATCGGGGGATATACCGCTGGGACCGTGAAACCGCTATAGTCTATAACAGATCAAGAGACCCTCTCTTGACTCTTGACCAGATCTAGTTTTGCTGACTTTTGTTACCCTATAACTGACTATTAAAACTCCCAAAATCCCTTCCCATCCTTGAGTCGCTATTTCCAGACAATGCTGAGGTCGACGCTTTTGCTATTAAACTGAGTTGTCAGTAAATTTGAATTTTCGGATTTCATCTTTTGGGTGTCAATTGCGCAGTTTCCCAAGTCCAGACTAAAATCATCACCCATTTTTTCAGTTTCCTGGAAAATAATACCCCGTTCTAGACCAAAACGCCCTCAATTCTATGACCCTATCCAAGACTAAACTGCTTGGAACCACAACCCTCAGAATGGTACATTAAACATCTTTATTGAATGAGACTGAGGTGGATGTGAATAATTATGCGGGTCGAGAAGAATGTTATTGGCCGGGGTGGATAACAGCTAGGGGCACCCAACGACTGTTTTCTGTAAAATATCTGTTCGGAGAAGCAAATATTGCCTACAACATTCTATTGCTTGAATACGGCTAAAAATTTCTAGAAGAGCGTTCCATTCAGGTACAATTTTCGAAGCTTATCTAAAAAAATCCCTACTATTTTCTGAAGAGTAATTTTTAATCTTTTACCCCTTATGTTTGGCTAATTTTCGTAAAAAAAGAAAACCTAAAATTTTCGGATTCAAAAATGAGATGGAAAGAAGAACAAGAAAAATTCTCACTTTCGTAACACGTTCAACTGCATCTAAAATTTTCGGAAAAATAACACTGAAACCCTTGTAATTTCGAAAGGCCTCAAGTTCCCCTAGGATGACCGAACAGATGCAAATTTTATAGCGCTGCTAAGAATACATTTCTAGAGATCTAAAAGTACTCTGGATAGCATAAAAAGACTTTTCAATGCGTTTAGGAGGAAACCGTCCTTGGCTGCCCCTGAACAGCCTCCGAGATCAGCATAATTCTTCGCATCATACGAAAGCCCAATTCAATAGTTGTTTTATTATTCATTCAAAATATCTCTTAGTTCTAGTAAAGTAAGCATAAATCCTCGTATACTTTGTTGAAGACTTAGTCTTCGGTTTTTTGGAAAGCCGAGAAAGCCGTTTATTAGTTTATTATCACTTAAGCAGCCTCGATTTCAGGTAAATATACCATCGAACAACCTAAATATACCATCGCATCGATGATACATTGCTTGCATCTTCCAAATATGATAAGCGTCAGTTGCCTATGAAAAAATGGCCGGAAGATTGGAACCAATCAGAGACGGCGAAATATTTTGGATGAACAATAAACCTATATAGCCCATAAATGGCAATGATGGCAATGCTCCTTCCCGGAGCAGTATTTTTTTTTCTATGACCATTATATCGTACCTTTGATGTAATAAACTTGATTGGCCATCCGTCCTCCTTCCCCATCAGACTGACAATCATTTGATTCTCCATATTTGTCAAACGTTTGCGGTGCAGTGGCACTAGAGAAACACTGACCACCATCCTGAATTGCAAAAATAATGAAACCCGCTTTGATGGCAGCCGACGCGCATTTGGAAATGGCGTTTTCTCGTTCCGTGAATGGTCCATCTAAAATTGGGTCCTGTCCTTCTAGACTTGAGATTGTTCGATTTGCGGTGTCCTTATAACATCCAACGGTTTCGTAAGCTGGAGGAAAATAGCGACAGATTATTTTCATCTTATTGCATTTAAAAAATATGACGAAATGTATGCCTGCTTATATTATTTAAAGACAGCAAAATCAAACACACGATTAACAGTAACTTTATAAATTCTAGGTGGCGTCTCTGAAACTCGTTAATAACACATGGAGGAGAAAGAAGAAAATGGAATATTGATCGTCATAGCATTTTTCGAACTTCGAAGAATGAATTTCTCTAAAACTTGAATAGAGCTGATATTTGAGGTAATATATCAAACATGAGACGTAGTGTTTCATCACCAGATGAAACACCGAGAAGAGAGTTGAAAATACGACGCGCAGCGGAGTATTTTTGACGAACTTCGAGGTGTTTCATCTGGTGATGAAACACTGTGTCGAATGTTTGATATTTCTTCTCAAACAAAATCATTTTTGAAGGAGAAATTAAGGATGCAAAAATGAGCAGTTTTTCATCTGATATCCAAACACTCATTAAACATTAATTTCCTTTGAATTTTCTTTATGAATTATTAATGAGTTTGAGAAGTATGACTCAATCATTCTAGTTATTCCTCATTAGTAAAATCCAACTAGTGGTCTATTATCAATGCTGCGTTCTGATTGGTTGAGCTACTACTGGGCTATATGTTATAGCCCACTAGTAGCGAAAAGCTACCCATGATATCCCGCGCGCGCCTCAACCTGAACCCCAATCTTCTCTTCTAACCCTAACCCTAACCCCTAACCCAAAACACATATATAGCGTCTGGGTACGAGTCTGTTCTGCCCCCTTAATTGTCCCCAGGTACGCTTTCGTTCGTCCTGACGACCTCACAAAGTTGTGAGCAAGGGTTCATACAGAGTACTCCCTAGCTTTATTTTACTTCTTTTGCCTAACAAAGAAAAATGAAATCAAAGCTGGCCCTTAAAATAATTCTTAATCCGCAGCATCCTTCTGGTAATGGTGTGAGAAGGAATGGTAGAAAAACAAAATCGTTTTCAATTCATTTTTTCTTACCCTGTCCACAATCTTCGCCGGTAAAACCCTGCGCACATACGCAACGATACCGTTGGTCTGTAAATCCCGACTGGCAGGTAGAATTGTTATGGCATGGATTGACGTCACAAGCACTCTTTCAAGAAACAAATGAACGGTGAATGAGATGAAAAGGTATTAAATGATGTAGCAAATCTAAGTAATCAAAGCGAAACTTGTCTGGGGAAGACATGCCAAAATTTCCTCCACAATCAGAGGACCGTCAGCAGATATGGCAAATTAGACAATGTGACGACAGTGACGTAGACTCGCGCAGTTCTAAAAACCGAAATGACTCATGGTAAGAGGCTAATTAAGCTCTACAATTCCTTTCCACCTTTCCGCTCTCTATCATGTTCGCATTTGGCGTTGTGTTGACTAAATCTGCCGAGTAGACATGCTGTTGTCTATTTCTGCATCCGATCTGCACACAGGAAAGAAAGTGTGGGTATTAAGCGGGGCACTTTTTCAAAGAAAGTCTCTCCTAATCTTTTACATGGCTACAATAGTATGCGCTCTCTGATCGGCTGTTTTCTTGTAATGACTGGGAATTACTAGCTAGGTTTCCAAGGCATATACAATAGTGGACATCCCTATGGCCATACAGAAAGCTGTGAAAAAAAAACATCCGCCGACCAGTGTCACCTCACTGTGTCTCGGGTTCAAGTGTACAACTCTTGTTATTTGCTGACCAGTTGTTGGTTTTAATTGATCGCATGCTGACTGAGGCGGTCCATGATGAAAAGGCCATATAATATATAACTAATTGACCTCGTCCGTTTGCTCATTGTAGGGAAATCTCAGAGCTCGGCCTTGATGTATTGCCGTTGCGTTCGCTCGGTCAATACATCAAGGCCTCGCGGTCTGAGATTTGCCCCCACTCTCGGTTAACAAGTAATATATAATTTCAGTTGAAATCGGAATGGTGAGGCCAAACCTGCCAGACAGGGCTTTGCCAAGCGTTTATGCCAGCCCAAAGTCCTAGGGTGCGTTCCTCTGAGATGATCCGGCTCAGGATCAGTGATCCGAGATCACTCAGATCATGGTAGGTCAAATGAACCGATGAATCCACTCTGGATAAGGAGTCATCGGTTCACTTGATCTAGCATGATCCGAGTGATCTCGGATCAGTGATCCTGATCTAGATCATCCCAAAGGAACGCACTCCTAAGGACGGACGTCAGAAGCTAGGTGAGGGCATTACCAGTAAACATTTTACAGTTGAATCTTGTGGCGTACTTGATAGTGATTTATCGATTTATCGGTCCACAGTTTAGGCAAATGGTAAGCAAAATTCAGGACTTGGAAATTTCGTCCTGCAACCGCTTTTGCCATTTGTACAAATCACTTCCATTTATTGAAAAACGACCTGGAAGCTGGTATCAAGGGTGACTCTTAAGAAATGGAACACGAATTTCCGTTTGGAATATTCCGTCGGGAAAAACAGGACTACCTTTCCAGATGTTCCGTTGCTCCTGGAGATCGTCCGCAGGAACTACCCAAAACGTTTTGTTCCATTTGCTTTATCCAACCGGATTTTCTAGAAACTTTTTGTAAATCTATGCATGCAAGATATTTGGTTCCGACAAAATCTTCCTTTCGTACTTCCACTTTTTAATGTTAGCGGATGTGAAATGCCTTACTTACTCGCATCCATGTTATGATCTATTGACAGCTGTCACAATAGGGTATCTGCTGACCAGTGTCACATGACTTTATCGCAGGGTCAGGTGAAAAATTCATTGAGGTGACGTGTTTTATTTAATTTTTCCGCATCCCGGTTATGGTATTCAACTGATCGCAGGCTTAAACAACTTCACTTCAGAAAGACATTTTTTCAAAATTCCCACGAGAGCTTCGCTTTTGGTTTGGCTAAATCTAAATCTAAGTCTAAATCTTATGATGTACTCTTACATCTGCTCCATGGTATACGTAGTCGGCATCGTCCTCCAGGTGATAACCATACCCTCGATGAGTTGCATTGTTCAACTCACAGCTCCTTGTTTTCTCTTCGAAATTAATACTGACGCAGCTAGATTCCCACAAACAAAGTATCTCGCAGAAACCTACATCTGGGACCTGCTGAGTTCTTATTGCGTGGTTCTGCAGACGTTTGGCGGTAAAGGAGAAGGAAGCTGGAAACCGCAGTTCTCGACATTCACCTGAAACAGTCAACATCCGTCCACGCACATGAACAAAACACTGCACAAAAAAAAGTAGATCAAATTTGCTCTGGGCAAATATATGCTGCAAAGGGGGGACAAAGATGGTAAATACTGCATTAGCATCCTTAATTTTATAGGGTTGTACAGTGGCGGATCTAGGGAAAGGGGCCCCCCCCCCCCATTTATTTTTAGACCACACTGAGACCCGAAGGGCCGAAAAAATTTTTTTGGAGAACGCCCTAGCTGTACTGTCGCAATTTGTAATACAGTCGACTCCCGATAACTCGAACCTTCAAGGGAAATAGAAAAAAGGTTCGAGTTATCGGGAGTTCGAAGAAAATAGCCTACAGTAAGGTAAGAAACAGTTCTTACTGCACAGTGAACATTTTAATCACATTTGATTGTAGAAATGTCAAGTGAAAATTAAAAGATAATTCTAGATTATAAATCAGAACCTAATGTAACAAAAGATAGCCTATATAGAGCATGCGTTTTACTGTTTTTTTTTTTTTTCACGTTAGCCTGTGACAATTGACATCAGCTTCCACTAGTAAACTATACTCCTACAACTCGTCAATAGGAAATCCAAAATTCAATGTTTCGGACGCCAGTATACGGCTTTTTTTCCGACTTTTTAAGGGCTCAAAAAATGGTTCGAGTTATCGGGGGTAAAATTATATAGAAAATGACCTGAGGAGAAACGAAAATGGTTCGAGTTAACGGGAGTTCGAGTTATCCGGAGGGTTCGAGTTACCGAGGGCAAAAATTAAAGTGAATGAATGACGGAAATCCAAGGGAAATCGATTTTGGTTCGAGTTAGCGCGAGGCTCGAGTTAGCGAGGGTTCGAGTTATCGGGAGTCGACTGTAATCATCGCAGTAATACCAGTCGCAATTTGTAATAACTGTCTATCGCACTTTGTAATAAACTAAGCTGTCGCAATTTGTAATAATTCCATCACACTTTGTAATAATGTTTTGAGCGTGATTCAACTTACTTCGTGAACATTAATATAATGCCGAAATATCAATGGTACCTCGTAAACAAAGATGAGGACGTCTCGATCTGCAAGAACGTAACTTACAAAATTACTTTTAAAATTTATACCGGCGCTCATTCAAACCAGTTAACTTATTCACGGTCCTAAACATTTTTTTAAAAAATTAATGTTGATAAGTTATCTGACGTACGAAATTCTGTATTCTTAAACTTTGCTATTGTATTGGATGGTTTGCATGCAATGGTTACCTGCCGGGCGTACTCCCTTATATGGCCAATATGGGAATGTGCCGCTGGACAGAGCGTTGTCAGAGTACAGAACCTAGACACACTAGACACAAATGACCCTTATTAAAAGGCATTTAATTTCCACCCAGAAGACTTCAAGTGTCACGTGGCGAGCAAACATGGATTGGGACGGCGAATGCCAGGTTATTCATGAATTTTCTGTTGTTAAATGTTGCTTTTGTTAATTAAAAATTTTTGAATTCAAATATATGAAATGACTCATATCTTTTTTTGGTGACATGTCACAGAAAGTTTGATGTCTTTCATAAAAGCGATTCTCGTTGGTCACGTGATTAATTAGGGCAGAAAAATTTACGTCGGAAGACACGCATGTTTGACCAAAGAAAACAATTTAAGTTTATTACAAAGTGCGATAGAATTATTACAAATTGCGACAGCTTAGTTTATTACAAAGTGCGATGGATGGATGGATCCAGTCTGGATCCAGCACTGTTGTAAATCGGGGGTAAATGGGGTAGTTAATAGTGAAACATTTATGTACCGTTGTGTTGTTGTAGACTGAAACGAGAGTCAGTTTATGTTGAAACTGGTTTACTTTGGCACCAGAAATGACTTCAAACGCGGAGAATGTATGAAAATACAAGTAGGCCGTGGAGGGAGGAGAGAGCTTAGCCTAGAGCTCATGTTGCTCTGCTGAATAGATGACAACTCTTTTGTGACATCCAGTTCCGGACAGATTTTGAAAGGTACTTATTTGGAAGCGATTGTTTTTCAATTGAAAAGTAGCTTACATACTTGTATTTTATTAAATATATGTTTATAATTTAAGTGATTTGAGATTCTTAGTTTTTATTGATGTCTATTTCATGTTTTCAACTTTTATAACCATGTAATTTTTTTTAAACTTTCACCATTTTTTAAACTTCATCGTGTAATTTTTTTTAAACTTCAATATCATGTAAATTGTTATTTTCGTTAATGATTTTAGTCTAAGAGCACCCCCTGCTGTAAATCACTAATTAAGTGAAGTTGGCATCCTCAATAAAGATTATCAAGCATCATATTCATCATCTCAATGCTAAGCAGTTACTGGGTTTACTTCACGCTATCTGCTACCCTTTTAAAAACTGCTATAAAACGTGTATTTAGTTTTAGGCAAACTTTTTCTTGTCGTCTCTTGCAACGGATGGCAAGTATGGGCATGAAACTTGACACTGATGGGATTTTTCAAGTTTTAAACCTATGCATGGAAAAATGACCAAGAAAGTTATTAGTCATCCCTGCTGTAATAGAGAGGAGAGGTAGTTACGTCACGTTGCCAAGAAATTGTGTCGTGTTCACCTAGTTTATAAAGCGGACGCGTGAAATTCGGAAGATTCACGTCGTGGTCGTGCTACGACGGCTAAGAAATGTACAAAAAAGCGTGATGCAGGTGCAAAGTTGTTGTTTTACCAATATGAACCTATTGATTTTTTGCCGTTTTCGTTCCGTCGCCGTCACTTCTCCACCTTTACTTGTTTGATATCTTCATAACCAGTATATAGGAGTATATTGAGCTTGAACAAATTTAAAAAGCACTAAGTATTCATCATCACAGAAGTGATTATGACCTGAAACAGCAATATCCTTGCGGGACGTACGTATTACCCCTCTGGGTAATAAATATATGTTGTTTTTTTTTATTATTTTAGAAATTCAAAGAGCATTCATGCAGAAGGTAAGCGTTTCATTTGATAGAAGAGTTTTGAAACCCAGTTGGGCAGAAATTGCAACATTTCTTAAAGAATAAATTAACAGCTAAGTTAAAGAACGAATCTGCCAAAATAGATTTAAGTTGAGAATATGTGCATACAAATTTAAAATGTATTTATATCTATATATTATTCTATAATTGAAAATGGTTGAAAAAGGGGCAGAAATTAGCTAAAGACACTTGCAGAGGATAAAATTCATAACCACACTCGTTCCATTCTTTGAAAATTAGAATTTGTTCGTATAACAAGACATGATATAAAGTAAGCGAAAGATATATTTAAACGGAAACGTTTAACTTTTAATTAAAAGAACTAAATCGCATCACTTACCTTCCACGGAAGCTAAGAAAAGTTCTAATGACAAGAAGAAAATGGGAACCCTTTGACCACGAAGAAAGGAGGCCATATTTTTGCATCTCAAATCATCGCTATCTGACCACTTTAGCAGCCAAAACTGGTGATAATAATGAAAGCGCCTACATGGAGGACTCTTAATAATGCTTCTAAATCCACCTGCTGTAGACACAAGTTAAAAATTAGACAGCTGCATGCTGTCATCTACGTGCTGTCGAATTCAGTTTGAAAATTAGATCAAATATGTCGTGTTACCACAACATGTTAGATAATTTGTAAATTGAAAAGCCTTTCAACATTTCTCTGCAATCCTCCTATAGTTCCTAGGCGCGATACCGTGGTTGTCTGACGATCTTTTACAGTGTAAAAGGCGCTATGGGAAGTCGAGGTAAGATCACTCCGCGAGAGATGAAGCATGTTTCTTAAAAAAATGAAACATCTTAAAATATTAGTAGACTGATTTTAAAATCAGAGATTCGCAAAGAGGCTGAAACAATTAAGGCGTACTATTTTAACATAAGAGGCATTCAAGACGAAATGCGACACCAAGGGCTACCAATAGACCGAAGACGGTGGGCAAGTTTATACTGAAGTTTATTAGTATTTGTTAGAGAAAACCCCCCACCTGTATTCTTAGAAAATTACTCAGCAGAAAAGAGGTGGTCTGGCTTTTCTTCATATCTACATGTTCAGCCGTTAATTTCTCAGTTAATAGGCCGATCCTTTGGCAGTGAACCGGGATTTTGCGGTCATGATTTTCTACCTTGATTGCAGAGAAAGTTTGTTTGACTACTGAAGAGCTAAATGCTTTTGAAAACGTAAGAGCAATATTCTTTTGTGATGGTGTTATCTTGGTCGTTGGCAGATTGAGTGGGGTGCAGAATGATAATGTTTTTTTCACGAAGTTCGAGTCAATAACGGTCCGCACGCGGCAGTCGATAAGAGTCTGAAACATTGACTAATTTTTTAATTTATATACATGGAGAAAATAATTAAGACAACAAATTTGCCATGATAAAGATGTTCATGATAATAAAATACCCTAAAATTCCGAAAATAAGCCCCGGGCTTACATTTTTCAAATGCTTTTTTTGAGGGGCTTATTTTTTGAGGGGCTTATATTCCGAGGGGCTTATCTACGGAGGGAAATTTGCGTTTCAAAATCGGTTGGGATAGCCTTATAGTTGGAGGTAAATTTACCGTTTTTGCTTTGTTTTACTTTGTGTTTGAGGGCAAAATTGCCCTCAAATACGAAGTAAAACAAAGCAAAAACGGTAAATTTACTTCAAACTATAAAGTAGTCCAATCGATTTGTAAACGCAAATTTCCCTCCGTAGAGAAGCCCCTCCGAATATAAGCCCCTCAAAAAGTGCCTTTGAAAAATATAGGCCACGGGACTTATTTTCGGAATTTACAGTAGTTAAAGATGAAAAAAGAAGGGCCAATAAATATTATCACTTGTTGCAACTACACAAATAACAGTGAGTGACTTGAGTAACGAAGGTTATTGACCTGTCAACTAATCTGACTAATATTTTTCCTCACGCGGGAGATGGGTGTTTTTCCAGTTCAGGTTCTAATTTTCAGTTTCACCAAAGAAATTTTCCAAAGTTCTGATGGCATCAGAGTCGTTTGTTTTTTTTTCTTATTTTGTCCTTAGTCATCCTAAAAGATGGGTAATATCAGTTTAGTAAAACTTCACATAGGAGATTATATTATCCCAAGTTGTTCCAGTCTATGGCGAGTGGCAAGCTTATGAATTCTGTTAAATAGGGTACTTGATTTCTGCTTAATTCTAAAATTCTACAACTTGTTCATTTTAATCAAGTGGATACATCAGTCAGTACCATAGTCCTTTTGCTCTGTTGTAATCTCTTCTCCTTGTAAGCATAGAAATTTATTCGTTTCCTAGTATTCATTTTTTTTATTTAGCCGGTTGTATTTACAAAAAAAAAACACTTAGGTACGTTGGTTCTTGACAACACAGTTTATCAAACTTTTGCAATACCTATTGAACGATAGCTGGTGATGCTCAATAAACCAGCTCCGATATATTAAAATGCAGGCTCAAAAATGAATAATACATTTCTTTTGTTTTATTGCCCCATGCCTCGGAGCCAAGTATGAATTTTCATATATGGGATATGGTCTATAAATACTGTAAAAATACGGTCAAATACTGGGTGCCAGCGGTTTTTTTCTCGTGGCGAAGATGATGTGTCTTCACAGTGACGTCATCAAATTGTAAAGTCAAAACTGAGCAAAGTTTCGCGAATTCTTATTTACACTAGGTTGAAGATAAACAAAAAAAAATCTTTGCACAAGTTTCCATTTCCGTAGCACGTTTCATTTCGAAAAAACAGCAATTTGAACTTCTGAGTTTTCACAGTGCGTGACACCAAAATAAAAATTCTGTCTCGTTGAAAGAAAGTCTCTCCTCTTTCAACAGTATAACCATCTCAAGTATTAGAAGATATGTTAATGCGCCGGCATGCTAGTTTTCGAATGAAAAGAAAGAGATTTCATAGAAAAAGTGAACTCCAGATGTTTTTGTTGATTTCCGGCAGCCATATTGGTGCACCAGTACTGGCGTCTTCATACAGTCTACATGTACAAAGGTGGGTGAAACGTTTCGGCAAATTACTCAGAAGCTGTGGGCCACAAAAACCTGAGACTTGGACAAACTGTTTATGTATTAATCTTTTATAACATTTAATTTTGTTGGCTTCTTCCACTGGACGGTTTCCAATTTATTTTTTTGTTGCGTGACAGTGAAGACGATCTTTAGGCTACAGGGCCGACCCAGGCGCTGAGTATCAGTTAATGACGTCATGTTCCATGTACCTTTGCGGGCGAACACTTGTTATTTTTGTTTTTCATTCCAAGATGGCGCTGTGTCATTACCCGTGTCCCGAGGAGATAGACGTCTTTACTGGGCCTCACTTGCGAATGAAGCAGCTGGTGTATGAAGCACTGGAGAAGGTTGGTGTCTTTATTATTCACGAAGTGTTTTTTTTTCGAAATCTTGCTGTGTTTTAAAGGTACCAGCTGAAACATTGGTCATGTATTTGAATTTCTTCTTATCTACCATTGAATCTCAGAAGACATAGTCGACACAAAATTTTCAATATTGTCAACTTGTTCCTGATGTATTGGCGTTTATTGTCACGGTGGAACACACTTTCAAACATGTATAGCTGTTAAACTTCCAGATGAATTCAGAATAAGGCTTAAAATGCGTTCAAAAGTAAAATATTTTACTTTCCACGTACATGTACGTTGTTGAAACATTGCAAGATATTACATAATGCCTTTCCACCAGCAGTGTAATTTCCCTCACTTGTTCTCACTCAATTGTCTTTTAATTACTATAAACGTTTTTACCGACAAAAGTAGGATTTCTGTATTTTCGTACAAACTTTAGGTCGACATTTAATAGAAGAACTGAAATATGCAATGTCATTTTTCGACTCACACGTGCTGAATTACTTTTAATGTCAGCGTATCTAGCATTTAAGTGCTGAGTCACTATTACCTGTTTTTCTTATTAAAATAACACTGCTAATTTAAGGTCACTAACATTAACTGTCCTCGACTAGAAAAAGTTTTTGATATCTTGAACAAATTCTCCCCATCACTACCACAGGAAATGTATAGGAAGAGTTTGGAGAATTTGCAAACAGATATTAGGGTCTTAAAAGTGTGCAAGCAAAAGGCAGTCATATTTTCCTTTATAAATTTTGGTATCAACTTTGTGGATGTAGGGTGCAAAATAACGACCAGTTAACTGACAATGTTCAGCCAAGATGACCGTTTTCTGAACAAACTTGCAGTTGGCCGGTCATTTTGACTGGTCAAGTACGTGGCTTTCAAACTAAATACATTACTGGAAAAATAAATTTATTCACATTAATTCTATATAAATTACAGAAACAGTTAAGTAATGAAATATTCTAGCCGCCTGTAGTTATAAATAATTGACCAGTCAGAAACCAGCCATGACCGAGCTAGAACTTATTTGGCCAATCAACATGACTGGCCATGGTCCAAAAACTATTTTGAGCCCTGTGGATGGCCAAAGATTGTCACTTATTATGTTTTGGTGGCTTAAGGTACTATATAATGGTTTTCACTGTCATGCCATCGAAAATAAAAATCAAATCCATCAAATAGGTGAATGAAGGTAAATATGCAAAGATCGTTGCCAAGATGCAGGTCGGTACAATTTTTCACATCCAAGATATTCAGAGAAATGTCTTACCTAAATTTACAGAGCTTTGTGTGGGGATGCCATGTTGCTCTCACTCTGAGGCGAACCAACAAGGCAGCAAGAAACTAACAGAAACATTTTATTTTGTTACCGAGTTTTGCTACGGAAGCGTGGATTCATTCTTTGAGCAGCTTATAAGAATTAATTTTAATTGATGCTTTTCCTAATACAAGGACTGTTCAGGTTGCAAACCCCAAACTAAGTCAATGTTTCAACCTACATGACAGCTCTCTCGGCTGCCATATAAATGCCACGTCATGCAAAAGGTTAGAAACTCAATTGTACTAACTATCACAAAATGAAGACCCCTTTCAAAGTTAAAACTATAGAGTAAAGGTTTTAGCTGCTAATACATACTTCATGAAATAAAAAACTCAGAAGGATCGATAATTCTTTAGTTTTAATTTTGATCATGTCATGTGAAAACCAGCAACTGGTTAACTAACACATCCTGTTTACAAATTCTAGCTCTCAGTGACAAACTTCAAAGATGATGTTTCTCTCTTAAGACTTCTGGGTTGCATAAATTCCACCTTCCAAGAACTTAAACACCATGAGGAAATTGAGAATACCTGCATTTTGGAGGAACTTCAGCATCGTCTTATTAATCAGCAATTACTTGCTGTTGTTAATGATGTACACAAGGACAGGCATGTTTTGGAGATTTTATCATTAGCGAGGAAAGGAATGAAAAGTGCGTCAAAAAATGGAACTTGTTTGAACAGAAATACGTTTGAGGATAGGCTCAGGGAAGCTCTGCAATCCTTTAAACGAGATTTTCTTCCACATATGAGGCACGAGGAAGAGGTAAACACCTGTGATTTAACTCATTTATTTTTAGGGTCGATGTGTAAGTTTTTGTCCCCGCCAAATTTGAATCGTGTCAAGGTGTGAAAATGCAGGACATAAAATAAACTTTTTTCCAGGAGTCACTCAGGAGGTCTTTATATTTTTCCAAAGTGACATAAGCTTAGATTTATTTAGCATTATGGTTTGTTAATTAATGCAGTTCTTATTAATGATGGATGTCATTTGTGAGCAATAGTGGTGAGAGGAATTGCTCCATATTGCATTATTCTTAAAGTCCTGTAAGTTGAAGGAGGTAAAGAATGGCTGTGGAGGTGAATTTGGGACTATCAAGCCAGCAGTCAAGAAAGAAGTCATACGATATGCTCCTCTAGGATGTCAGATTTTTTATCTTTGCAGGCTTGCAAATAAGTTTCCTTTTGCAGATGACATAATAATGTCCAACCAGTTAAGTCCAACAAACCAGAAGAGATGTCACACACTCATCATGTGTTGACTGTATAATTTGGTTTTAATTTATTAACATGCAAATTGCATTGTCAGTTACTTAATGGTAGTGTAGTCAGTTCAACCTCTATTTAGTGGCCTTACTCTATTAAGTGGCCAATAATCAAAGTCCAGAATTAATAATTGTACAAAAGAACTGTATTATACTATAACAAGAATGCTCTATACAGGAGCCGTCGGTCTAGCTTGCTTGAAGATTAGATCAAGAAATAAGGAAGCGATAAATTCTACACAAAAGAGGATTTACTCGTTAAAGGTTTTTTACTTTCTACTTTATTGACATTGATACTCTTTTAAATATTTGTTTCTGAATTGATTTAGTACGTGTGTTAGTGACAACTGGAAATATGTGTGCGGTCGCAGACTATACGCGTGTATAAATACATGAAAATTCAAGGGCCATGATTCCAGAGAAATTGCATCATTGCCAGAGATGAAAAAAGTGATTTACATGACACGTCATTTCAGTCATCGCTGAAAATAAACCGCATGCTCATCACAAGACCAATTTGTATACAATGAAAGTTTCCAACACCCGGCCATCTCAGTTTTGCTAATTAAGATTCCTATTTTTTTTTCGACCACTCAGTAGTGTTCACTTGTTGCAAAGTAATCAATGCCTTCAAGCGATAGAATTCGTAGACCAACATGTTTCAGAAAAGCTCTTAATGTAATCTTTCCTAAGCTTTCTTCGCAAAATATTTGTGGCTTTGATCACGCAACGATTCTTAGTCCCAGTTTCCACGGTCTCCGCAAGGAACGCCTGGCACAAAGACTCCCCTTTTGTGCCTTAAATGCGACTAAAAACACGTTGCAGATTATGAGTCTCGCTGCTTATGCATGTAAGACTAGTAAGTGAAACCTCTAGATCTACCAGCAATAACATGTATTGTTTTATTTATTGTGCCAGGTATTTCAACCACTCCTTATGGAGTATTTCAGTTTTGAAGAGCTGAAAGAAATCAAGGCAAAGGTGTTACATCTCCATTCTGTTTATATTAATCTCAGCAAGGTAAGTTTTAAAATTTCATTCCGTTGCCTGCAATTAATAAAGTGGAAATAAACATTAATTGATAATTACCCCTCATGATTCCTTATTTTTGCTTCCATTATAAAAATGGCTCTTTTTGTTGGAGTTCTATTTGCAGGTACAGTCGAACCTCTATGTGAACCACCTCTCATAAGCAACCACCCATTCAAAACACCAAAATATCCCCATGATATCCATATAATCAGAACCTCTCATAACTTTAAGTGACTGCAACCGCTTTTTGGCCTTGCGGGCTTATTATTTTCCAACGGTTTTGACCTCTTACAAGTAAGCTAAGCAAACACTTGACACCTGATGTGGTCTCTGTTTGCTGTATGTACATGTACTATCTTACTGCTTAGAATAACAAGAACTTTCAGTGACAACATGGAGCAGCTCCTATACTTGTGCATAACTGAGGCCCTGCCAGGGTAAATTCTGACAAGTGACTTGCCCCAAAAAGCAGCGACAGAGCGTAAAATGAAATCGTGACAAGAGACAACCTCGCTCTGCCAAATTGCAACAGTGACAGCAAAGCCAAGAATAAGTGACAAAGAACAGCGGTTTGGCTATTTTATCACCTGTCCTGAATGCAAAGAAAATGCAACTTTTGTCAATTTTCCTTGCTCTTCGGAGAATGTCTCTTGTCAGTGAGCTTCGGTGGACCCTCCTGAGTGCGTGTCACGTTACACTTTATGGAGGGACCTTACACAAACATGACGGTGAAGGCAACGTCTAAAAACTAAAAGGTTTAATGAGCAAAACAACAAGTCTGCACGTGCATCACGCTTTCTTGTACATTTTGTTGCCGTCCCTACACAACTGCGTCATGAAATGACCAAATTTTAAGTTTACTTCAGAAAGGTAACGGCAAGCCGATAAATTCTACCATCTCTGTCTGAACTTGGGCGCGGTCCCCTCTCTTCACCTCCAACCTAAATTCCCTCTTTTTAAGTAACTGGGCAACTTGGGATAATTGCCAAAAAAAGTGAAAAGATGCGAAGTCTATTTTTCAGGAGCATTTTCATGGACGTTGCCATTGTCAAATCGTTACGCAAGCCCGCCCAACTCCTGAGACAGCTGGGAATGAGGTTGTCCATCACATAGCTTAATTTTATGCACGCTTTGCTTGCCCCTAAACTTTTAGACCTTCTGACATCCCTCTCAGGTAGAACCGTGAGAAGACCACTATTGCTTGATTTGTAAGGTGGAGAAATAAATGTTATGAGCAAAGTGGCTCATCAGACTGGCACTTTCCTCTGTAAATGTAGTGTGAAGTGACTAGTTCGAAGATACTACATCTCCATAAATGGGATGTTAGAACATCGCAAGGCTTTCAATTCCTGGCCAGCATTATGATCGTCGTACCCACTATACGCTTGGGTGAAGAGAGACAATGTGATCCAGACTTAAGTTTCTAGTTTAAATGTAAGCAACACGACAGTGACGACGGTAGACAGACCAAGGATCAGGTACATATAACCTTACCACCCACCTTCCAACCCCTCTCACAGAGTACACCACCATGCCTTCACTATTCCTCAGGTCAGTTAGTCTTAAAATGTTGATCGTGGATCACTTAATTGTGAATGGCAATATTTTTCTGTTCGACACATAAAATTTTAACTGAGAAATTTCAGAACTGTAATGGGTTCTTTACAACGCATCGCTATGCCCCTTTTTTACAAGTTCCTAAAATTCCGACAAAGACAAAGAATTTTCGTTCAATTTCTGACAGCGTCATGAAGCATTTAGAAACACTGACACAAGACATTTTAAAATTCAGGCGAGCGACATGGGACCGCTCCCTGGCAGGGCCTCAGAACTTAAAAATTGCATGTAATAAATCATCTTCCAAAATTGGTTGGTTGAGATCTCTACTCAGAAGAGACCCCCTGTTTGTTGATTCTCGTATAAGCAACCACTAAATCTTCTCATTTTGGGTGGTCGCTTATGGGAATTTTGATCGCATTATTATAAACCTACTATTTACAGCTCACATTCCCCTCACAATCAAATTCTTTTTCTTTTTCAGCACTGCAAGGTTGAAAGCACAGACTCTCCAGAAAAAGACAGTATTCAAATTGATAGTTCATCTGAACATGAGTCTGATCAAGACATTGATTTTGAAAAATCTGCTGCAGTAAGGACTAAAAATTCAAGTCTCAGAGCTCATTGCTCAAAAGAAAGGACTTCAGCATCAAATTTAGATGCATCTACTCATGACATTTTTGCAAATTTTACATTGACTGAAAGCAGTGTGGTAAATAAGACTTCAACCTCTGAAAGTGATGTTGGCGCTGAACAAAAGCAATCTTTGCTTCTGCACTTTCCTTCTGAAATCACGCTTAAAATATTCTCTTACTTGGGACCCAAAGACTTATGCCGATGTGCCCAGGTTTGTCGCCTTTGGTCACAATCTGCAAGAGATGGCGAGTTGTGGCGAGAGCTTTACCCTGTGCGCTGGATTTTCAGGAAGGATTGGCGGTTTGGTGCAGATGTTGATGATATGTGCTCATGTAACTGTGATTCTGAGATTCAGAGTTTGGAGTCTGGATCTATGAACAGGTAAGTTATTGTCTGAAACTACTGGTTGGATAAAATTTACAACAAACTTGGAATCAGACAAAGCACTGCCACATATAATACCCTACACACTCTTTCATTACCAATAGTAGCCCAGTATTCTTTCCAGAAATTTCAACACTGGGGTCCACAGGACCCATAGTCAATAGAGAAGCTAAAAGGGGTTCATGAGGAAGAAAAGCGGGTCACAATTTTTAGATACAGTCAATGCCAACTCAACGTTTTACAGCTACGGGTTAGAGTAAATACTTCGTACTTTCTAAAAAAGTAGATGTCCTTGGGACCCCTTACAGTGTGGCATTTTTTGAAAAAGTGCGGCAATGCCTACCGGTCTGGTAGGAAAACTGGTGGCCACAGTAAAAACAAACAATAAGCACTTTACTTTTATTGTTACCTGCTGCTTTGGAATTACTTATTTCATGAAGTAACTTTTCTTGTGTGTCAGTATGACTCCTCATACTGCTGCATTATTATGAGGCCATGCCAGGGTAAATTCTGACAAGCGGCATGGCCCAAAAAGTAGCGACAGCGCATAAGTCAGTTCAAAAACTTAACCCGACCATTTTTACGAAATGACTCAATAAATTATTTAAAATGCCATGTGGGACATATGACCCACTTTGACTAATTTATTTCTAGGTTGAACACTGCTAGCCATGATGTTAAAAGCTTTGCCATTTGCACATTTGTCAAGGGCATTATTGTTGAAAGAGTAAATGATTATCTCTATTCAGGGTTGTCATTAAGAGCCGGCGGCCGGGGATTTTCCCCGGCTACTAAGAGAGTGGCCCCTGGCTACTTTTATCGGAAAATAGAAGAAAAATAGAACCAAAAGAAATCCCTAGTCGTTTGATTCCCCGCCTACTTGTTGTGTCTACCTGGCAACTTGAAATCTTAGTGACAACCCTGTCTATTAAAAAGAACTTAAAAATGTTCATCAAATCAGGACAAACCAAATTGATTTCCAGTGAATTTGCCCAGAAAATTCCCACAAATGTGGCCGTCATTACCGGTCGCTTTTTGCTGAAGTTTGCCCCTAAAATTTCACAAAATCGGCTGATTTTACAGCAAATTTTCAGAGACAAATTTGCTGTAAAATCAGAGAAAAGTCCAATTATTGGACTTTTCTCTGTGACCTATCAGAAGCCCTGATAATTGTTTTATATGCTTCAACCAGTCAGACCCTTCTTCTAACTGTATTTTTCTCTGTGAAAGTACTTTTGCCAATACAGATGCTGACAAGGAAAGCTGCAGTGACACTGGATCCAGCTCTGGAACAGACAGTGACAGTGAGTCACCTCCAGAGATGCAGCAGCTGCTGGGTTTGGTGCGATACCTGGTGCCAAGGGTTGGACCATCTGTGTGGGTGTTAAAGCTTGGGTGCTGTCCAGTGTTAAGTAATGGTTTGGTGAGTAAAGAGGGGTGTATGTAGGTTCTTTGCCTGACCTGCTGTTGGAAAGTGCATTGTATCACGACCCAACGGGAGGTGGACTTTTTCCAGACCCTTCCAGATATTTGTTGAAATGGTATAATGGGGTACCATATACAGAAGTACAGACCATGTGCTTTCTGTAGAAAACTCTGGAGTCCGGACATCTGTAATAATTGTAATTTGTTACACACTGAAACTAGATGTATGCTGTGATTTGCTGGTTTTCAGTTCTTTGTGAGTTGGAATACTGAGCACAGGTACTATGTAGGTCTAGGCTTGGAATCCCAATCAACACTGACAAGTAAGGAGTTGAATTTGAATTTTCCGTTGACAGTGAGGTATGTAGGGGACCAGTGACATGGGGTGCTTTCCATTATTGGAAATTTTCAATAAGAGCCAAAAAAATTCCCCTAAAAACTGAAAGCTGTAAAATAAAAATAGGCTAAGATTAAAATGATTACTTTGTTATTGAACCAAAGCAAATAAAAGAAAAGTTCTGGGAGGAATTTTTTTTAGTATTTGAGTTTTCTTTTACCTCACAAAGTTGTTCTGTTTTACTGGAATAATTATTTTGGAAATCAAATGATAAACATGTTCCTTCTAACCCAAAAAGATTTTTTTGGAATTCAAGTGAGGCATTTTTTTAGCAGAATTTGGAAAATTTCTTGGCTCCCCTTTTTTTTACCAAGAGGTCTGTGAGTGTTAATTCGAGTAAAATAGTACATGTGAATGTTATCAGACTGTGCTAAGAGCAGGGAATATGCCAGGTCATTCATCATTGCTGCAGGTGCCATAGCACCATCAGTAATAGAGGAAACATGCTCTTTTGTGGAGCTGTAAAATTTCTAGAACATTTCAATGTTTCCATTTTAATTTTTTTTTATAGGCATTCAAGATTCTGTCCCACTGTCCTAATGTTAGGCATCTTGATTTATCACAAAATGCAGTTTCTGACTTTGGATTAAAAGGGTAAGTCAAATTTAAAGATCTTGTTACATCTACAGGAAATAAGATATTTTGTCAGGGTGTAATTAGTAAGTACAGTCTAACCTCTTCTTACTGACACCTCTATAATACGGACACTTTTCTATTACGGACTGTAACTTCAATGCCATCCCTTGCCTCACAAATAAGCCACTTTGTCCTCACCTGTTTTGATGAAGATTTAACCATTTTTTCTGTTTCTTTTTTCATGTGATTTAGCTGACATATGACCGACTGTAATAACTTTTATTTTTCATCTTTTATCAGACTGTTCCGAAAGGGAGGAGGTCTTCATCTTCAACATCTTGATGTCTCTGGTTGTAAGAACATTACAGACAAGACTCTTTTCAAACTCTCTTCATCACTGGGCAAGCTGCCAGCTGATTCTGGAATCTCAGATATTGAGGACAGCAGTTGTGACTGCCACACTTCTTGTTCCTGTGGCAAATTGAGCAGCACTACTCCCAAAACAGTGAAGCGAGGGCTTGTTTATCTGGGACTGTCTGGCTGTTATCAGATAACTGATGCAGGCCTAAGGTGAAGAACTGATAAGTTAAGAACTTAGTCAATTAAGCAGCTATGTTTTAATCGTCTTCATCATCATCATCATCATCATCATCATCATCGTTGTTGTCATCATCATCATCATCATCATCAATATTCTATATATAATTATTATTATCATTACTATTATTTATTTTTATATTTGCGGTGAGGGGGTGAGGAGGTGAGATTTCTAGACCACATTCATGCAGTGAAGTACAGTAAAAGATGATAGGGAGTTTAAGCAATGCGTGTCAACCGGAAGTGGACTTTTTGCAATCTTGGGCTGTGATTTTGAAAAAACGTCCTAGCAGATGGCCTCTCTGAGAGTAAAGACACGTAGCAAATACAATAATTTTGGTAACATCAAGGCATTAAAATGGAAAAGGACTCACTTCTGGGTGACGTGTGTTGCTTAGAAACGTCTTTGCTTATACTCCCTAAAGTCAGCCTTCAAACCGAGTGGCCCATTAGGGCAGAGCTCATCCTGGTTCCTGTAGAATTAAGTGACTAGGAATATATCTACTCCCCCCTGCCACTACATCACGGGGTTATTCCCAACATAATCCGCTGGTACCCATGTCTAGGTGAAATGAGCATTGTTATAGTGAAGTGTCTTGCTCAACAGCACAACACAATGCCTCCAGGAGGGATCAAACCTGGACCTCTTGATCCAGAGTCCACAGCACCAACCATTTTGGCCGCTGCACCCTCCACTGTGCAATAATGGGTGATATAAATCTGGCCATAAAAACACGGGCACCAATTAACAAGGTTGTTGGAGAAGTTTGGCACTCTAATAAGATGGCTGTAATAATGCAGTAGTCTTGTGGTGGTTGCAAGGAAGGCTCCATGACTACGTGTGTTAAGCTAATTCTTGCTATGACAAAGGGGTGGTTTATTTGCAGGCGTTAGGGTGAATGTACACTTCACGGCACTTTTCTGTCAGACTCATTTTAGCAACCTGGAACCGTATTACTGGTAATACTAACAGGATTTTTTTCTTTTGTCAACTTTGCAATCCTTGATAATTTGGTCTATAACTTGTGGGAGGAAAATTAATATTTAGTATGACTTGTGTGGTAGCTTACTGCAGATAATGTATATTAAAGTTTTGTTGTTTGTTTTGTATGAAGAACTTTGGCAAAGTATGGAGGGCTACCAAAGCTTCGTCACCTGGATTTGTCAGGCTGTTTACAAGTGACAGCTGAAGGACTTTTAGACTTGGTGCAGGTGTGCCCTAATCTGGACCATACAGAGTTCTTTTACTGTGATAATATTGATGAGGGCCCCTACCCTGATACAGCAAGTGGATGTCAAAATCTTGAGTGCAAGAATCGTGTGTGTTGTCGCACTGGCCAGTGAGCATTCAGTACTTGAGGCACTTATTTTGCGTTTGGCTTTTTGTGTAGTGTAGATCCTGTGGTTCACTTTTATCCTTGGTTCAAATTTGATTTTCCTCTGTTTCAAACTCATTATCATATATTACCATACCCAAAAACAAAGGAAAATCAAATTTAAACCAAGGACAAAATTGAACCACGACATATAGATATTTTTCTGAGCTCGACTGGTACATGTGCCTTGTTGAATCTTACCCAGGTAGTTAGATACATGTTAATAGTTCCACACTATTATAATTATAATTTGTGGGATTTTGTGAGAAATGGACACCAAATCTTTTAATTATGGTTCATCAGTGCTTCGCAGACTTAATCCAACCCTAGCTGGTAATGTCTTTGAAAAAGTGTTGATATACTAGTTCTGGGCCCCCAACGGGCTTAACTAATTACCAGACGTATGTTTCAAATTCCCCTGCAACTTCATTGGCAAATCAACAGTCATGGCAAACAATGATGCATATTCAAATCCTGGTACTCAGCTATTGGCCCAGAACAAGGATTTCAGTGCTGGCTGGCAGACAGACTAAACCAGGGGTTTAGTTTCATCTGTGGCACAGGCAATACCAACCTTCACTGGTGGTTGGTTGGTTGTCTACTAGGTCATCCATCAAAATCATGTGGCAGTGTTGTTCATTAGGTAGTGAGTAAAAAAAAATTATTTTGGTCCATAATTCATAGTAGTTTTCACAAAGCTAAAAAAAATAATCATATGTAAAGTGAATTTTCAGTGTATTAATTTTTCTGCATCTTACCATTAAGGTCCTATGAGATTATTGGTGTAGTTCCATTTTTTGTAATACAGAATGTTCTTAGCTGAAGGTGATTTTGTTTTCTTTTTTGTGATTTTTTTTTAAGTTTACAAGAGGCATTAAATGCACAAGGCACTCTGTGTATCTCATTTCAAAACGTTATCCCAAAAAAAAATTGTAAGTAAAAATGTAGATCAACATAACTAAATATAGTTGAAGTTGACTTAAAACATATATCAGAGGCTCAAAGCTCATTAATGTAATATTAAATTACCATTTTATTAGATGTAAATGTGTACTATAATTGTAAAACTTGAGCTTGCAGTCTAATGAATAAGGAAAAAAAAGAGAAGGTCCACAAATTAAAATTTGAGCCATTCTACATGAGATATGTGGCTGTATGTGTATTTTATACTTACTACTAATAAAAATAATTCCTTGTTGCTTTTTCAGCACTTCAACATGACTTTTCCGATTGAGTTTTTCACAATAATATTGTTAATAATTAATAAAAAATGTAGATTGCCAGTGGAATTATACATATCCAGTGGAGGCCTTTGGCAAGCCTCTCATTCAACGTGAATCTCCTTGCTTTGACAAAGGGTTAGTTTAGTATTCTTATGAATCTGTCCATGATTCTATGGAATCTAAATGGGTTCAGATTTGCAAAGTTCCCTAACTTTACATCGTAGGAAAGACTTTCTGCCTTTTTACCTATAGACTTCTAGTGGAAAGCAAGGGGATACGACAAGAGTCTAGTCTACAGTATTAAACAAACTCGGCCTTCATGGTGTCGATGCCAGGATTTGAACCCGGACTACTTTGGTGGAAAGCGAATGCTATCACCACTGCACCACCCTAACACCCCTGGAACAAGACTATGCTATAGCTAGTAGCTGTAATGAGAGTTACTGTACTCTAATACATGTATGAATGCTCAGAGTCAGTGAAATCAGTTTCTCAATAATAGTTGCCCCTAAACATAAGTTCTTGATGTTGAAGGTGGTGGTGGCCGGGAGGGGGGAATTGGGTGAGGGCCCAAAGAGCTGGCTTGCAGGTAGCAGAGTGACACAACAATAATAATACCTGGTGTGATGGGTGTGGTTATTTTTGAATTTTTATATTCATTTTTAAATATTTATATTGGGCGTGTACAGCCCAAATTTCAGGGGTATACCTCTAGTAGCACATTCTAGAGAGTGTGCGACTTAATGAGACTTGTATATTGAATTAAGCAACAAAGTATACAAGGATGGACACTGAATTTGAACTGGAGTGACAAAAAACTCAAAACAAAGAATTGACTCGGTTGCTTTGAAATAAATTCAATGTCTTGGACTTCAGTGCAAGGTTTTTTTCCTGGCTTGTCACGCGCTTAACATGGTTCGAATTATCGAGAGTAGAATTGTATAGAAATGATCTGAAGGGAAACGAAAATTACTTCGAGTTAGCGGGAGGTTCGAGTTAACGAGGGTAAAATTACAGTAAATGTAAGAGGCAATCCAGGGGAAATCGACTTTGGTTCGAGTTAGCGAGGGTTCGAGTTATCGGGAGTGAACTGTATACCGTAAAATTCCGAAAATAAGCCCCGGGGCTTATATTTTTCAAAGGCCCTTTTTGAGGGGCTTAGTTTCGGAGGGGCTTATCTACGGAGCGAAATTTGCGTTTCAAAATCGATTGGGCTAGCTTTTAGTGGGAAGGAAATTTACCATTTTTGCTCTGTTTTACTTTGTGTTCGAGGGCAAATTCCAAGTACAAACCCCCCGAGGGGCTTATATTCGGAGGGGCGATTTAACGGAGGGTTTTTTGCGTTACGATTTTGGGGGGCTTATATTTGGAGGGGCTTATTTTCGGAATCTTACGGTATTATGAGGACCTTGATTGATAAGCAGTGGAAATCATTTCTCGTCTTTTACTTTCCATTAATGAAAGGCATTCTTGTAATAACAGTGACCTAAAAAGCTTCTTCCAGCCTTCGATCAATCATATTAACTCTCGGTGACGCAATTTTAACTTTTGCCGACTTTCCTCCAAAATTGAAAATTTTCTCTGCCTGAAAAAAGAACAAAAAAATTCTCCGACCTTGAAAATTTATTTTTCCCCGGCTATTTCCCGACCTGTGAAAGACATGTAATGAAACATGCCTTCCCACCCAACCCTGTACCCCTAAGAATTTTCGTTATACTGGCGATGTTGTCCCGCTATCTCCCTACCCCTCCCCTGATAACAAAAAACCTTCCAAAAACGCAATTTTCAAGATAATTCATACTCTTTAGGGGTCAAATTATTTCACATTGTGACTTGTAAGACAAAGTATCAAATTATGAATAAAATTATATATTGCCTCAAAACAAACAGCTTGATCACTACTTTGATGAACATTAAAAATGATGATGTTAGTGAAAAAAACAGTAGAATATGTCCTTGGCTGGTAGCTGGATAAAGGTCATCTTCTGTCATTTTAAAAAGGAAAACAACGATGATATTGAACAATTCACACCTGTAAATTATTTCAAAACCGGTTGAGTTTGGCAAAATTACAAATTATAGGGATTAATTAAAAGTTCCGGGAAAATGAAATTTCTTTAGTTTAACATGAGTAAGGCACTACGCAATTTTCAGTCAGTGGCTTGATCTTGGTAAACACTTGACTATTAAAACTTTGAGGTGGCTGAACCAAAAGTTATCAAAAGCAATAAAATTAAACGCCAAAATAAGCCCTTAGCTATCAAATCAATTATTTACGAAGTCTGTGGAGCTCAGGGGCCGGCAGGTCAACTTGGTAAATATTTGCCTTTCTTGACATCAACAAGTTTACTTACGGCTATCTATGTTCCAGTTTTGTGTTTTTCATAATTCTAAAGTTTAATGCCTACATTCTAAAGTTTATAAGACAGGTTTGTTGCAAATATTGGACCACAGGGTAAAGGAGGTTTTGATAGTTCCAATGTAATTAACATGACACAATACAAAATCAGAATTATTGGGATATTCTAACACAATGCCTTCTAAAATTGACTTGTTTTTGAAAGACTGCCTACCCTGAAATTGTCAAAATTAATCTACATCGAGAAAATTAAAAAAAAAAAAAACAGGTCGGCAGTTAAGCATCATGCGTGGAGCCAAACACATTCTGAACATGCGTGATGCCACAACAAACGGAGCCTAATTTATGTTTTTAAAAATATCATTGTAGTTTCCTTTCGTCTGGTAGATTCTCAAACTTTTCGTTCTTAACAAAATAATTAAAGAAAAAACAAAAATAAAAAATGTCCCAGCCACCGTGAATTAACATGAAACCGCAGACAAATTAAGAATTGATAACGCTGGGCATGTCACGCGACACTTAAAGCATGCACAAGGTTGAACTAATAGGTTGAGAACTTGGATGTTTACGTATATACGTAAACCTCATGATTTACTTCAGGGATGTGGGCATCAGCCTCACGAAATCCACGGTTCATGCTTGGATTCAATCAACTTGATTTTTGTTTTCTTCAGCAAGTAAAATGTTGCCATCTTTGGAAATGACTGAAGTCATGATTAGAAACAATGCATTGTTTGGAAAAGTAGAATTCTTTAATCCTTTTCTCCATCTTTTACTATACAATGACTTTAAACGAACTTTGGTCCGCTTTCATGCGGGTAAAAAAAATTCATACTACTTATATATTTTTCTGAACGTGAATTCGCTAAGTACATGTGTATATACAACAACCTTGAATATTAATTACATCTAAGCACACTTCCGTACAGAGAATAAATTTTAGAATTCTTTTTACAACGTAGTTTTATAACTTAAATTCAATGATAAATCGAGCATTTGAGTTTTCTTGACAAAAATAGTGAATTATTTTTCTTTGGCTTAAAAACATCCCATCCGTTAAAATATCTTACGTAAGTAAATACGTACGAGTTAGCATAAAAGATTTCCACGGCAAAAGCATGCAAGGACGAATATTTCGAATTCAACGTTGGCCGCAGATGAACTCAAAAACCTTAACAGACTTCACAGTTCTAACACCTCTAACAGTAAAATAAAAAAAATAATAAAGTTTCTTGAAAATGAGTTCAAAGAACATTAATAACAGAAACAAAAAAAAAGTTCCGATTGAAAAGGATGCTACAAGAAAATATAATGTTGCAATTTATCAGTCTGAAATTGAACAATATTATCTCCCGACTATTTTTGGTAGCACAGTTCTTGTGTTGAGCTTAGCAGATTCGCTAACTCTGTGTCCATCGTCCAAAATTTCCTCGATTTGCCTACGTGGCTTGGCTTTTCCCGAAGTAGGTGCAGCTGGTGGCAGTTTGGAGACGCCGGATCCTGAATTGTGTCGTTGATAACTCGATTTCTCGTTCGATTCAGGGGCTCGAGGCAAGCGCCTTCGAAGCCATGGATGCCGTAAGGCTTGCGAGGGGGTCATTCGTTGCGAAGGATCCCATTCTAAACATCTCTGAAGAAAATCAATGAACTGGGAGTCATCACAGCCTTTCAGAGCAGTTGTAAACTTCTTGGAGCCAGGTGGTCCCCGTGTTTTGCCGTGCCTTGAACGGCCACCGGTTAAAACAGTACTACCATCGGGAAGCGTCGTAGCAGTACAGTACCGCGGATGACCTTTGGAGTTGATGAAGTTCTTGGTTCGCTTTGATGTTTCTAAAAGCTTCTGAGGCGGCATCCCCAACAGCTCAACAATGCAAGCCAACTGATCTCCTTCATCCTCACCGGGAAACAAAGGATAGCCAGTTAATAGTTCAGCTAAAATACATCCGAAACTCCACATATCAATTGCCATGCCATACTTGGCGCCGAGTATGACTTCGGGCGCTCTGTAAAAACGGCTTTGAATGTACGTGTAAATGCGTTGATGTTCATAGCAACTAGATCCAAAGTCAATCACTTTAATTCCACTTCTTCCTTGCTGTTTTAGAAGAATGTTCTCCGGTTTTAAATCGCAGTGAATGATACGGTTTCGATAAAGAGCGTCGCTACATTGAAGAATGGAGTGTGCGAATTTGCGGACCAACTGCAGGCTAAAACCTTGAAATTTGTTCTTCTTTATGAGCTCGTAAAGATTCATACTAAGCAGTTCGAAAGTCATACAAACATGTCCGCGGAAAGTAAAATGTTCTAACATATGAATGATATTATGAACATTTTCCTTATCCTGCTTTCTCAAATGTTCTAGAATCCTGATTTCCTCCTGCGCCTGCCGGTGGAATCGCTTCTCGTTGCGGACCATTTTGAGCGCCACGTTAGTCTGCGTTTTATGATCATAGGCTTTCACGACTTGTCCAAAGCTTCCTTTACCGATAATTTTGACAACTTCATAGCGATAAGCGATGTGGTCATGTGGAACTTGGATGTAGGAGCCCTGATCGTCATCGTAGCCACCATTATTCGCACCACCAACCACACCCTGTCGTTTCTTTGCGTTTGGACCAACAAACCAGATTTCTGGATAATTAAAGATCTCATGATGTTCAAAACTAGTTAGTTTGTGCATGAACTGTTTCATTGCTGTCTCTGGCGACATCGGCAGCCCGCGAGCTTTAAGGGAACCGGAGCCATTTGTGCTAGGTCTTCTTCCCGACGCTGGCGATCCGTTTCCCGAAACAGATGCTGGCCTATGAACAGCCGGAAGGCCATGCATTTCGTTGGCGATCTTGTTCTTATTCTGTTGGTTGGTTTCTTCTTCAAACAGCTGTTGTACCTGAACGCCTCCGACAATCGGCAAAGCACTAGACACGGTCGAATCATGGGCTTTAACATTGCCTTTCGTCGACGGTTTCAATGGTGGTAAAGCATCCGTATTTCCATTTCTGTCCACATAAATCGCATCTCCTCCCGTACTCCGCTTAGAAACCGGCATAGGTTTCCGTTGACTCGTTGTTATCATAATACTCTTTCTCTAGATTCGATCGTAGCCAGTATTACACCGTTCTAAATCTCTAAACACTTTCCTCGAAGTAATCAAGCCTCACAAATAACTTTCTCTTTTGTCAGCCGCATTTGATGTTGTTTCGTTGCGTCGTTGCCAGGTGATTATTAACCAATCAGCGCGGGCAGTAAAAGCGTCTTGGAAACCACAAGACGTAAACAAACGAGTGCATTAGTGACGTCACAATTCGATCGACCATCGCACAAATTTTTGCGCAATCTTTTCTAACCTTGTTGGATCAGCCAAACCAAATTTGAAATAGGCAATTTAATGGAAATATTGGATTTATCCTCGACACTGGATTGAAACAAGACAATCTGAAAAACTGCAAAGATCGTTCATTTTGGCGAGTGGTGTCTCAATGGCGCAAAATGAGGAATTTTCGCGGGAAACACGTCAAACAAGCTTCATTAGCTTCCTTTTTACCTTTAAACGCGCTCTGTTACTTAAAATATACTTGTGTAAAATTGATCCAGACGATTCTCATCAAAACTGAGCGCTCTGTACACACTTAAAATTTTTAGTCACGTTCTCAACGTCAGTTCAGATAATTTTGTTCGAAAACGTGGTGTGCTTTGAATTAAGAACGTCGATCGGTGAAATCTACAGATAAGATTGAGCCTAGATTTTAGACATTTGGATTGTTCCGTGACCCTCCATGTTTATTAGTTTTTATGTAACAATCTCTATAAGAATTAAAACAAGTTGTATAATTTTTTATGGTTGATACAGAAATGTAAGAAGTATATTTTATTTTAAAAAATTGTCACGTTTTTAATTAGTGCCACAGGCATACCACACTAACTGATTCTTGCTCATTGCCAAACAAAAGGGCGGTTTATCTGCTTTACTAATCGAAATTAATTATTCATTTTGTTAAAAAGCTCTGGAAGCGCAGCTGCCTGATGTTTAGTACTGAGATTAATTTTCCAGCTTTTCGACACTTTTACCAATATGTAAGAACTTACAAAAGAACGTTATCTGTTACAGTTAAAAGCAGGACAATGACCTCCTGTCATGATCATTTTCACATGGGAAGAGAATTAACATAGGATGTTGATAAATATACAGAAAAGAAAGTGTGAAAAAGTACTTGTAAATTACATTAAAATGTGAAAATGAAGGAAGTTGCCCATTGAATGTTTGCATGAACAGACCAAAACAACAAAAAAAGCAAAAAGTCTATCCCCATTAGAAAACAATATATTGCAAAACAAACCGCAACATTCAACAAAAAAAAAGGGAAATGGTAGAGATTGTCTAATTAGCGTGGGTGGGTGGGTTGTGCATTGTGAGCAGAGGGTCGAGCATTGTGGTTCATCGGGTTGTGTGTCCTGTCATGTAGGTCAACATGAATTACGTTGGCTGTGGGTAACGGACTAGCTATCAGTGAAAAAGAGCGAAAGTGAAGTTGGATAAGAACAAAAGCTAAGGAGAGAAGGGTTAAGGCCTTAAACCCTTATTTGCCAAGGGAGTGGGTGGGGGGGGGGTTCGAAAAGTGTGATGTATTTTTTTTTTTTTTATCAAAACTTTAGTCTCCCCCACCTTCTCCCAAATAATTTCATATAAAAAGAATATCACCTTTGCAGTAATAAACTCTCCTTGGCATTACCCTGTGAGCAGAGGTTTCTCTCTTGCATGGCTTTTAGCATTTACAAACTTGTTTGCGTCACTTCTTAGTAGTGTCGGTTGATTGTTTTATAGGCCCTGGAGCAAATAAAGTAAACTAACAATGTGTCTATAAACAACTGAGCTAAGCGAGCAATATCATAAACACTAAAAGCCGTGTGAGAGATCAGAGACCAGTGCTCACATTGTACCTGGGTATTACAGTCATCCCAAGAGAATAGTTATGCACAGGAGCCCATGGCATGGGCTCTGACTGTTATGCAAAATTTTGGAAGGTAAACAAAGTGCATTTATTTACGTTCTCAATGAAAATGGTCAATGTAAAGACAGGCAAATATCTCCAGGGCTGTGCTCTAGCAGAGCCCGGTGGCCCCTGGCGCCCAACTTTTATCCTCGGGCGACTAGAAAATCTCAGATTTTTCATACAAATCATATGCTGGGCACCCTAGATTTTACAGTTTCAGAGCACTGGGCTCCCTTCAATTTTCCTTAGAGCACAGCCTTGATCTCTCTTATATACAGTGGAACCTCGGATCTCTACAATGGCCACAATGGGGACAGAAGAAAGTGGCCATTATAACGAGGTGGCCGCTGTAGAGAGGTTGAACAAGAGTCAGCGAATGGACTTTTTGTCTGGCGGTGACTTGTAACGGCTTTCCATTTCTTCATTAAATCCCCTGAAGAAGGACAGCTTGTCCCTCCGAAATATTGTAGACCACTCATAAAATTCATTCTTTTAGGGCTTCTGGTCTGAAAAGACACCGTGTTCAAGAAACTAAAAATTGTATACCCTGTTTTGTCTAGGCCATATAGGGGAATACTCACCTGCCCACCCTCCCCCCACCCCCAGGGGGAGAGGACAGGAGGAGAGAAGCACGCATTGGCATTCACACAACCCTATGCAAATGACCCCAGGCGCCCCACTCACATATTTTAATGACTGGGGGGTCCGACAGAGGTTCATATTTTATACCCAAAAAAATCCCAACTTCAGAATTTGTCTACCCCAAAAAATCCCTACTTTTCTTAGCATACCAAAAAAAATCCCTCAGTGTTTTTGCATCAGCAAATTTTATTATTTATCTTCTGGAAAGCTAAAACATGCCAACTTCAACTTTGATTTTGGTCAAAAACAAAACTATAAATTACGCTTATGTTATTGTTGATTTGAGCTGATGAAAAATACAATACCCCCAAAAAATCCCTGTGTTGTTTTCGCGACCCAAAAAATCCCGGCATCTTTCATAGACCCAAAAAAATCCCTTTTGGCCAAAATCTCAGACCCAAAAAAATCCTTCGCACCCCCCCGTCATTAAAACATGTGAGTGGGGCCCCTGGACAAATGACTGACCACTTATTGAGATCTACAACATTTGTGGTCTGATAACTATTCTCATCAAACAGGAGTGAAGCCTTATACACACGTATATCAAAAGGCAGTCTAAATCATTGTGTTTGGTGATGTCTAATATCAGCTTTTTATAAACAAGATTACTAAATTATATTTAAACTCAGCGGTGAATATTTGAGAAAAAGGCTTTACTTACCTTCATCTCTACCACTTAACTATAGTTATAAGTACGTTCGTTCTGAAATCTCTTGAAAAATAAAATATCCGTTCTTTGTATTTTGCGTTTCCCGCGAACCTCCCCTCCCCTGTGGGTCCCCTGTGGTCGACCCAGTCTGTTTGCTGGTATGTCATGAGCCCACGGTACAAGATACCAAGATGGCGGACTTGAAGGACTTGAAATTGTAAGTTATTTCGTCGATTATAGGTTATTTACTCCTTTAAGTAAACCGTTAGATGGAGTACTTTTGAACATTTTTGTAATCAAATGTTTTAGGGAAATATCTGTGCCTTTTTGCACGGAAACTGAAGCGCAGATTGCGTGCAATTCCCTCTCTGTTGATCCAGAGCCGAAGCGTGGAGGTGTCAAGAAAGAACTTGTGGTGGAGGGAAGTGTGTTAAAAGCGTGAGTATTTCCTTGTTTGATTAAAATTTGGTGTGATTCCCTCTTTGCTGTGAAGTCCCGTCTTTGTCCCATCTGGTGGCTTTGGTTGATTTGATAACTCCCCAAGCCCTAATTTTGACGTTTCCAGCTTGGGGCTGGATCCTCGTACACCGGTTAACGAAAATTGCGTGACATCGGTCAACCGAAAGATAGCGTGACAGCTGGATAACTTGATGTCTTTTGGTTGACCGATGTCTCGCAATTTTCGTTAACCGGTATACGAGAACCCAGCGATGCTTGGTCCCAATAGAGACTTAAAAAAATTTCAATGAGATGATACCGTGCTCTTATTAAATTATGTATTTTTTTCGAGAAATTTTTTTTACTTTCTGGTCTAATGACCTTTACTAGGAATTTCACCATTCCTTCACGGGTGTCTTGAAAACAAAGACCCCCAAGACCTCCTAACACCCCATCCGAATGACTCTGAACTTTATTGATTAGGGTTAGGAAACTGAGTGAATCAGGTTCCATTTAGGTCATTATACTGGGCAAACTGAACTGAAGGTTAATTCACTCAGTTTCCTAGCCCTAATCAATAAAGTTCAGAGTCATTCGGACAGGGTGGGTCTTGGGGGTCTTGGGGTCTTTGTTTTGAAGACAACCTGCCTTCACTGTGTTAATAAGTTACTCTTTTCATCAATTGAAATGTTATTGTATTTCAATATTTCATTGTTAAGTCCCCTTTTCACCCCTTGCTTTGTTGCACACAATAAAGAACTTCAATTATTCCTAATTTTTAACAGGTCCATGTCATCTTCTGAAGCCAAAACACTGAGAGTTTGTGCCAACTCGTTTCTCGACCATTTATCTCTGGTTGTGGAGACAATTGAAGCATTTGGGCCACCACTGGAGGACTCATGACTGTGCCATATCCCATTACTCCTTATAGATTGTGAAAATCTAAATTCTTCTTAATTTATTGTTGCCATATCTTTTCGGAGAGGTTGTTAAATTTGCAGGATTATCTCCTAGGGTGATAATGCCCTTAAGTCTCCTCCTCTTGGCTCTAAATCGTTATGGCTGGTTCCCAATAGGAGGGGGACTTCCATATGAAAGGGGCAGGGATGTTCATTGTCTCGCTTAGGGGTGTTAAATTTCGGGATTTGGGTCTCACTTAGGGAGTTTTGGGCAAAACGCCATTATATTTAGCTGTAAAGTTCTCTTTTAGGGTTAAAACAATGTATAGGTAAAAGTATTTGATGATGATGTTTGTGCCATCATTAGAAGTCCTGGTATTTTTTGTCTGTGTTTTAAAATGGTCTCTTTTAGGGGTCCAAAAAAGGTTGGGCCACACCCAGATTGGTCTCAGGGGTTTAATTCAAAACTTCGGCTAACATCTGCACCCCGCCCCTTTCATATGGGAAGCCCAAACCTAACAACTTCTGCCCATTCCTTTTTCTATATGAGAAGTGTACAGGTATTCTCAGTTTTCGAATACCCAACAATGCATTCTGTTTGTCCCCCCACCCTTCCCTTTTTTTGTATAAACTATTGTTGTCGAATGCTCCAGGGAGGACTCCTTATTCCTGAAAGCATTGAAAAACAATCTGTTATACAGAATTTAAGGCAAGCAGACCTAGAGTGTATTATGGGGGATTTGCATGGGGCAAAAATGAGAATTTAGATTTAAACATTAAGGATCAAAGGGATATCAGAATCTTGTGGAGGAAACCCTGGAGCAGCAACACGCATTTTATACAACAAAATGACACATACTACAAGATCAAGGGAATAAAGATAACATTACAGACACTGAGCAGTTATTCATCCTTTGAATAACAGCTTTTGGATGGATCTGTGGATAGTGCGTGCACCATGGGAGCTACATGCCATTATGATTCATTAAAGATCCAGTTACACTCTGAGGAGTTGCATGCCAAAAGACATTACCAACATCATCCATTTTCCCTGTAAATTTTATGGATCTTTTTTTAAGGAAGCTTTGGTTGCTGGACATGTTCAATTTTTTTTTGCCGCCATCACGAATGGTTGCTTTATCATCAAGACATTATATTAGATATGCAAACTAACACATTGTATTAAGCAGGGGTTTCAATAAAAATTGAAATAGCCAGCAGGTTTGAATAGAGTAACCGACTGTATTAACAAGGGACCGTTGGTCCCCTTTTTCTAGGGTGGGGGAGGAGGTCTGGGGGTGTGCTTCCCCAGAAAAGTTTGAAATTTCAAAGCCTTAAAATGCGATTTTCAGCGTTCTGGGGACTAAATTGAGGATAAAAGAGGGTGTGTTTTATTCTACAAAAATTGGCTTTCATTCACCTTTCGATTTATCAGTTACACAATCCATTCTTACCACCAATGAACAAGCGGTGAAAACTAGATTACCTACTTTTACACGAAAACAAATTCTGCTTAAACTGTGAAAAATTGACCGAAATATAGCGTTCACATGGCTAAAGAATAACGTAAAACCAGTGGGCCTTTAGGGAAAACACGTCATAATTACGTTTCATTCAGATTTTTGGTTACAACATTATTCAAACTAGTTACTTCTTCTTTGTGGAAAAAAGTAGGCGACTTCTATGAGCAAAGTAGCCGACGTGTTTCGTGGGCCGTCGGTGCTTATTGAAACCGTTGTCGAGGGGGAGCAGACGCATTTTTCGGCTCTTGTTTCACTGGAAAAGAAAATAGTTTATTTTATTTTATTTTTTTAATTTTTTAACGAAGACGAGTGAGCTGCGCAAAGGAAGACTTCTTGTAGTTGTAAGCTTTTTTGTTTATTTCCGACGCGTTTCGTCTCTTACTGAGACTTCTTCAGGGAATGAATACAACTAAATAAAACAAAGTACAGCATATACAACACATTTCGTGCGTAAGTAAAACTTCCGATAGAAGTGAATAATAAACTTAACTATGCTGCAAACGGACGTTATATAAGAAACGCTTAATACAGTCAGGGGCACCCAACGTCAATTTTCGGAAAATATCTGTTCGGAAGACGATTTGAGATCTAGAATTTTCGGAACATTTGTTGTAAAATTTCTTGCTTGCCTCCCTCTCCCAGGATTTTCGAACACCTAAAAAATGGTATAATTGCCCATTTTTAACGGATTTTTAACCTAAAAAGGTCACCTAGAATTTTCGGGAGCCTTTTTCTGGCTGAAATTTTCGAAAAAGTACGTTTTGGTCGCTACAATTTTCGGATTTCTGGACTTTCAGCTAGGAAACCCGAACAGATGAAACATTTTTAGGGGATAAAAATATGCCTATATCTACCGTTTAAATACTATAATACGTCAGGAGCCTATCATTTGATGGGCTCCTGAATACGTTTAACAATGCTATTTTTAAGTGGTTTTGAGCCATATTCTCGTTGGGTGCCCCTGTACAGTCATTCATATGTTATGGCGTTTTCTTATATTTTGGGGGCCATACGATTATTAGTGCTAATCGTATGGCTCCCATAAAACATGCTATTTAACATATTTGTGCTAAAGTAGCAGTACATGTATAACTGACGATGAAGTCTAAGTCTGGTGAATGTCTCTGGATGACCCGCTTAATGTTAGCACGACTACAGTTAATGTAGATTTTAACATAGGCTCGATAACCAGCCGCTGTTCGGGAAAATTAGCCCGCACTCTAGGATCAAAGACCGGACCCGGTAGACGGCGGAAATCGAGCCTAATTTTAACACTACCATTCTACTGTTGAGGGATTTGCATTTTCGTGAAAGCCATTTACTTCTGTTACTGTATTTAACCTCCCTGAATAAGGGAAGTACAATTCAACTGGGTAACTGGAAAGCCGGAGGGGCTTCCAGAATCTCTCACGCGTTTCGCTAAAGCATAAATGTAAGCTCAGCCTCTAATTGCTCGCGGGAGGAAATGACTCAAAGGAAGTACGATTAGGGCTTATCATATGGCCCCCCAGAAAATAACAACACGGAATAACGTATGTATTAAAGCGTTCCTTATAACCTCTATTTGCAGCATAGTTAAGTTATTAATCACTTCCATCGGAAATTTTACCTACGCACAAAATCTGTTATGTACGCTATACGTTGTTAGTTGTTAGTTGCATTTATTCCTTGAAGAAGTCTCAGTAAGAGACGAAACGCGTCAGATGAGAAATAAACGAAAAAGCTTACAACTACAAGAAGTTTTCCTTTGCGCAGCTCACTAGTCTTTGTTAAAAAAATTTGCAAAAAAAATTAAATTAAAACAATTAAAAAAATGCAAATTTTTCGTCTATAGTAAAATAACATTTTACTAGTCTAAAAAACTTCCTTTGAAAAAAGAACATCATCGAAAGACAAAACCAAGGTCTCCTTTACAAAAAAGTAGGCTCAAAAGATATCTGGAATTTTTGAAAAGAATCATGGGTTAATCTCTTCGGAAAAATGCTAATCTTTCAACTATAGTAAAATGAAATTTTACTAGTCTAAAAAACCTTCTTTAAAAACAAGAACATCATCCAACAATAAAACCAAAGTCTCTTTTACAGAAAAAAAGGCTCAAAATATTTGGAATTTTTTACCAGAATCATAGATATGCAAATTTTTCGGCTATAGGAAAATGACATTTTTGTTCTCTCAAAAGTCTCCTTTTGAGCAAACTAAATCATCTAACCACAAAACCAAGGTCTCTTTCACAGAAACGTAGGCTTAAAAGATGTTTGGAATTTTTTACCGGAATCGTAAGTCAACCCCTTTGGAATTGTGCAAATTTTTCAACAACACTAAAATGACGTTTTTGTCGTCTAAAAAGCCTCCCTTTTGAGAAAACAACATCATCAAACGACAAAACCAAGGTCTCTTTTACAGAAAAGAAAGCTCGAAAGATATTTCGAATTTTTTACAAGAATCATGGCTTAACCCCTTTGAAAATATGGAAATTTTTCGACAATAGTAAAATGTCATTTTTACTTCTAAAAAGCCTCCCTTTAAGGAAATAGTACAATGAAACGACAAAACCAGGGTCTCTTTTACAGAAAAGTAACTTCAAAAAATGTTAGGTTTTTTTTACCAGAACCATAGTTTAAGGTGGCTCGATACAGTTATTCAGGGTCAATAGGCGACGTAGTTTATGCTCAAACTTGGGAGGTCAGGCATAAACAAAGATTTAGAAAAATTGCAACCACAGTTGTATTAGATAAAGATGACAATTTGTCATGATCAAGATTACAGTGACATCTGAGTTGTCATAGCAACGACATGCCACCATTACCAATTTTACTTCCAGCAGTATTTCTTGGCACTGGGAACTGTTCTTCCAAAATCGTTCACGGGAGCTTTTTCCTCCAATAACTGCCTCGATGTACGTGAAGTTAAAGCGCAATCTGTATGAGCGTTTTTAAGAGATATTTTGGGATGAAGTTTTTATGGTCAGAAATGAGTAAAAAAATGGACAACCTTGATGTTTGGCCGTTAAGTTATCTGTAAAAAGAGAAGAGCTAAGAAGCGCTTTTGACATGCAATTTCACCGCATAGTAGTTTCAATCTTTTTAAAAACATGTGTGGAAGATCATGGAGATAGCTCCAGCCGATTGCAAGAAAGAAGGATTTGATTAGTATGTATCGAGAGGCTGACATAAGGGGGGCGCTCTCCAAAAATGTAAATGTTCTAAAAAATCTATTGAGCGGTTTAAAAATTAATGGCTAATTTGTTACGCTTAAACTTGGGAGATATTGGTCCTAAAAAACTGTATCGAGCCACCTTAATCTCTTATTGAATATATGCAAATTTTTCGGCAATACTTAAATGACATTTTTATCGTCTAAAAAGCATCCTTTTAAGAAAACAACATCATCAATGGAAAAAACAAAGGTCTTTTTTTGCAGAAAAGTAGGCTAGAGAGATATTTGGAACTTTTGACCAGCATCATAGTTTAACCCCTTTGGAAATATATGCTAAATTTTCAACTATAGTAAAATGATCGACATTTTTATCGCCTAAAAAGCCTCCTTTTGAGAAAACAAAGTCACCAAACGACAACGCCAGGGTCTCTTGTACAGAAAACAAGGCTTTAGAAATATTTGGAATTTTTGACAAGAATCATGGTTTAACCCCTTTGGAAATATGCCCAATTTTTAACTATAGTAAAATGACATTTTTATCGTCTAAAAAGCCTCCTATTGAGAAAACAACATCATGAAAAGACAACACCAAGGTCTCTTGTACAGAAAACAAGGCTCGAGGGATATTTGGAATTTTTAAACAGAATCATGGTTTAACATGACATTTTTATCGTCGAAGAAGCCTCCTTTTGAGAAAATAACATCACCAAACGACAAAACCAATGTCTCTTTTACAGAAGAGAAGACTCAAAAAAATATTTGGAATTTTTTACCATAATCATGGGTTAACCCTTTTTGAAGATGCGAATTTTTGGACTATTGAAAAACGACATTTTTATCGCATAAAAAGCCTTCCTTTGAGAAAACAAAATCATGAAACGACAATACCAAGATCTCTTTTACAGAAAGGTAGGCTCGAGAGATATTTGGAATTTTTGACAAGAATCATGGGCTAACCCTTTCGACTATAGTAAAATGACATTTTTATCGTGTAAAAAGCCTCGTTTTGAGAAAGCAACATCATAAAACGACAAAACCAAAGTTTTGTTTACAGAAACGTAGGCTCGAACTGAATATTTGGAATTTTTGACCAGAGTCATGGTTTAACCGATTTAGAAATATGCACATTTTTCGCCTATGGTAAAATGACATTTTTATGGTCTAAAAAATATGTAAATTTTTCGACTATAGTAAAATGATATTTTTATCGTGGAATTTTTGACCCGAATTATGGTTTAACCCCTTTGGAAATATGCCCAATTTTTAACTATAGTTTTAAAAATGACATTTTTATCGTTTAAAAGCCTCCCATTGAGAAAACAACATTATGAAACGACAACACCAAGATCTCTTGTACAGAAACAACGCTCGAGGGATATTTGGAACTTTTAAACAGAATCATGGTTTAACCCCTTTGAAAAAAATATGAAAAATTTTCGACTATAGCAAAATGACATTTTTATCTTCTAAAAAGCATCCTTTTGAGAAAATAACATCACCATACGACAAAACC